TTTATTATTAGAAACTGTAGTTTACCAGCAGTGAACAGTATGGCCTTGACAGAAAGAAAAGGGGAGAATTCAGAGAGTGGCAAAGAGCCTTTACAGGACCTGGGGGTGAATGTTTGACTGTAATAATAACAAAAAGATTGCCACAGGAGTCACTTCTTTTTTTATTCTTCGGTGGTTAGTAGGAATATGAGATGAGCATTAAAATCAATGTCTTTTACAGCTGTTAGCACATTTGTACTGTTAAAGAGAAAGCACAAACAGAACTGTGGAATACTTTTACAATATCATTACATCAGCACTGTTTATACCACATCTGGAGTCCTGTGTCCAATCATAAAATTGTAGAGTCATAGAATCACCTAGGTTGGAAAAGACCTTTAAGATCATCAAGTCCTGTGTCCTGGGTTCAATCATTTTTCTCCTTCTTGGTAGCTGGTGTAAACTTTCAGCTCGGGAACAGAGATAACAATGATGTTTTGGTTTGGCCAATTTGTGAGCCTCATGCTCTGCCAGGTTGAAAAAGACCTTTACGTCATGCATGTAACTGGGAGTTAGGGCTCCAACCTCTTGTTATTTCCTTTATCATTATTATCACTGGTGGTAGCTGCCCTTAAGTTCTTATCTCAACCCGCATTCTTTTCGCTCCTCTCCGTCCCTCCGAGAGCAGGGGGAGGGCACCCTGACTGAGTTTAAACCACTGCCAAGCGCACTGCTAAACCATGTCACTAAGGGCCTTGCCTACACATTCTTTGAACACTTCCAGGGGTGGTGATTCCACCACTTCCCTGGGAAGACTGTTTCAATGACTGACTACCCTTTCAGTGAAGAAATTTTTCCTAGTAGCTGGTCTAAACCTCTTCTGGCACAGTTTGAGGCCTTACTTCCTGAAAATTAAATTCTTCAGTTCTTCAGTTCTGGGGTCCTTAGCAGAACAGAGACACGGAGACAGTCCAACAAAGGGCCATGAAGTTGGTGAAAACACTGGAGCATCTCTTCTATGAAGAAGAGCTCAGAGAACTGTGACCCTTCAGTCTGCAGAGGACTCCCATCGTAAGGGAGGGTGCAAAGCAGACATAGCCAGGCTCTTCTCAGTGGTGCCCAGTGACAGGACCAGAGGCAATGGGCACAAACTGAAACACAGGAAGTGCCCTCTGGTCATCAGGAAGCACAGTTTTACAGTGAGGGTGACCCAGCACTGGCACAGGTTGCCCAGGTAAGCTATGGACTCTGCACCCTTGGAGATATTCAAAAGTCACCTGGACACTGTTCTGTACAACTGGCTGTAGGTGAACCTGCTTGAGAGGGCTGTGATGGTGAATTCCTCCCACCCTTCCCAGCCTGTTCTACAATTTCAATAACTCATGTCAGGCCTTGGCCATTGCGTAAGACCTTGGCAATGAAGCATCCCTTAATCGTATCAGGAACACTTTCAAGGCTAAGGTGAGGGCAGCACAACCTGTACCAGGAACTCCTGAGTGGGAGATGAGAGTGTGGGTAATCATTCCCCTGATAGCCTTGGAACATTCCTTATCTGAATGCTCCAAGTGAATTTACTGATAACTAGAGCCAACCATCTCACAACCCTATAAACAGCAGTGCTAAGTAAGACCCTTTGAGCAGTTTTGGATGTCAGAAGGCATCCAGATCATCCTGGCACCAGGATCTTGCCTTGAGTGGGACACCTCTCAGGGTGCACAGACCCTCAAGTTCATGAAAAGGGGACTGTTGGCTGATGATGGGACCAGGACTGATATCCCCACTAGTTGAAGCCCAACCCCCACCTGTTGAGAAACACCAAAAAGGTATTAGATGTGAGTATTTCACTAATTCTCTAGGAAAATACTTATGGGTATACTTCTCTATATATACATATATGTATCCTTGTATATGTACAAGGATATATATCCTTGTGTTACCTTTGTACATCTCCCTATATGTAACTATGTGTGTATGTGTATTGACTTGAGCACCCTCTAACAAATATGGTATACTTGTTATTATCTTAAATCTACAATATTGTTATTATTACTATGTTTATAGGTGATCAGTGGTTAATCTAACATTTAAGTGCTGCTATGATTAAGTGCTGCTAAATCCTTTAGGCAAAAACCGTTGACTGAGTCCTAGCCTAAAACTGAATCCAGCTGCATGTGGGCTCCTCTCTGAGAAGGAGTTTAGGAAGCAAGGGGCATTCAGTCTGCATCTTGTGACTCAACTAAGAGTGTCCCTTACATTTTACCCCTTTACATTCTGGCCTCTGTATAAATCACAGTTGATTCTAATTTGACTTTCCTTTATATGTATTACACACACAGTAAGTAACAGAGTAAACCTGCCATCAGACTTAATTGTACTTCTGCAAATTTACATTAAAGCTTGTTTGGGCTTATACATTTGACAGTGATTCTTTCAGAGACCTAAACCACTCCCTTCCATGACAAGAGGAGTTGGACTAGGTAACCTCCAGAGGTGCCCTCCAACTTCAGGCATTCTGTGATGCTGTGATATTTGACTTAAAATGAATCTAAATTTTCAAAAACATGTTTTTAAAGAAAATTGGCGATTTTTACAGCAGGCAATCTGCCTTAGTGAAATAAACAGTCCAAGTCTGCCCTGTGCAAAAAAAAATCTCTTCTTAAACTATAGAAAGTTCATAGAAGAATAAATTTGGATGTTTAAAGCTTAAACTACACAGAAAAAAAGTACTTTTGTTGATGAATTAGAACTTCCACGTACAGATTTAATGCCCTTTAATTCTATCCTGCGCTTCCCTAGGTTTAGTAGCTTAGGAGAGCATTTGCGCCCACTTGCTAGCAGAACAGAGTCATCATGCCATCTAGTGGTTGCACAGGTAGTAAGAGATTCTGACCAACTAGAAACTGGTCTGACAGCATTAGAGCTAAATACAGTGAAATTTTCAGGGTGTGCATAATGTTGCAATCTCCCGAAACCTTTCCCACTTTAAAGCATGATTTTAAAGTGTGATTAAAGTATGTTTCTTTACTTTATACAAACGATAGAATTTGTTGTATAGCAATTTATTCTTTAAAAAGAGGGATAGTTGACACACTGGAGCACACGATGGGTGTTTCGGACAACAACAGGCTTAAGAAATGGACTGTTAGGAAATTCACAAAGTTCAACCCATGGCACATGCAAAGTGCTGCATCTGAGACGGAATAAAGATACTCAACAACAATTGAATTGGCTGGAGATCAACCCAACACAAAGTAGCTTTGGAGAAAGAAACTGAATGTCTTGGCTTACACAAAAGTGAGTATGGTTCAGTAGTGTCCTTGTGAGAAAGGTGACCAACTTCACCTTGCACCTGTGATAGTGTACTTAAGGAAAATAATTATTCTCCTATATGCAGCATTTGCAAGATCACCTCTGGAGTGATCACTATGTCAAGTTTTGGGCTCCCTGGAACAAGTGAGGCCCTGACATACTGGACTGAGACCAGGGAAAGACCACCAAGAACACAGGACATAGAGGGAGAGAACAGGATGTCCTGTTTCTGTCTACAAGGATCTAACAGAAAGATAGAGAACAGCTGGCACAAATTAGAAAATGGGAAATTTACATTACATATTAGGAGGAAAAAAAATTCACCATATGCATAGTCAAATGCTGGAACATGTGCCAGAGAGGCTGTGGAATCTCCATCCTTGGTGTTTGGGTCTCAGCAGTATATATCCTAAGCAGGGGCTGGACCTTATGAGTTCCAACCTGAATAACCTGAATTATTCTACAGTGCTACAGTGTGGAGAAAAATCTGTAAATACACAACTTGCAGATTTTAAAACTTCTGAGAAACATACAAAGCTCTCACAGACAAGATAACAGTCCGTAACCTACTTCTGGACATCAGATAATGCTGAAAAACCTGTGGCATTTAACTTAACCTCTGCTAAGAATTAATATAGCTGGTATACAGAGATAACAAGTAGCTGAAAAAGGACTATTACCAGCTAGAAACAAACAGGCTTAGGCTGTGGTTACAGGAGTTGCATATGTTGCTCTTTTTGACAGTTTCACGGTTTAGGTTTTCAGTTAGCACTGCTGTGAAACGTATGTTGGATGGAAAGGAGGATGTGAAAAACTGTGAGAATTAACTGGTCTTCCCTAGTTGATAGGTCCAGTGGTCAGAGCTTCATACAAAAATCTGTTTTCCAATCTTAGTGCAAACTTTCACTTTCATCATGGCATTTTCACAATGAAAATTTCAGCAGCAGTTATTTTTGGTCGAGTTACTTTTCTATTATGAGGATAGGACTTCTCCATTAAAACTGTATCAATCTGAGGACTAAAAAGTGTAAACTTTATCCTCCTTTCACATATATTCACATATCACAGAGCTAGCTATGGCAATAGCTGAAAGGACCAATTGAACACAGCACTTTCTACAATGCAGATGAAAGTTCAGAAACTTGACAGTATTTCAAAGGGATATGAAAGCAGATAAATTCGAGAACAGCTCATGGAAAATATTGTTGTAAGAGTGTGAGTAATAAAAAAAGATGTTTCCAAACTGCCACTATCAAGACTTAGCCTGTCAAAGTAAAAAGCTGATGAAATTTTACTTTACCATTTTATTTAGAAGTATAGTGAATCATTGCACAGTACATGTTGACTAAACCATTCACGTGACTAAGCAGTGGCAGGCATGCATTTACTCAGGAACAGTACTTAAATAGGAAATACAGCTGTGAAAAATACCTGATGGAAGTATATCAACATCTGGCTAAAAAGCAGGGTCACCTACAGGCATGAGCACTTATTTGCAAGTGAATAAAACACTCCTTTTGCAGTAATGGAGCTACAAAATGTTTAATGTCTTGAAAGCTTGCATTACTCTTCCCCCACAGGGGATACTAGCACAGAAAAAGTACCACTGAAATTTCCTGCAGATAGTATTTTGTAGTGTTTTGGAGGGTTGTTTGTTTCTTTTATTTTATTATTGTTGTTGTTATTATTACTATTATTATTTTCTTTAGCAGCCTTTCAGGATATGGTTTTTGTCTTTGCACATCCTCAAAACAGCCAGTGAGGAGGGGTGAGGGGGATGGGGAAGCTGTAGCAGAGGTAAAAGGTGCTATATTTAGCTTAATATATAGGTTCTTAAACCTCCATCCTACCTCCATCACACCTGTAAAAGAGCCCTGCTGTGGGCACTCAGCAGAAAAAGCGGAGGAAGAGGCTTTTCGACCGAAGATAACCGAAAGCATCACCCACCCTACGCCTTTGCTTTCGCCGGAAGGCTGTGGGAGGGAGACCCCGCCGTCTCCTAAAGGTGTTGATCCTTCCTCCCGTTGCTGGCGAGGTGCGCTCCTGGGAGCAACCCACGACGGGCTGACACACCGGCACCCTCGGTAAGGTTGGTACGACATTAACCTGCCTTCTTCTGCTGGCCCCGCACCCCGGCGGAGGAAGGGTCGGCGCAGCGCGGAGCTGCAGCTGAGCGGCCGGGGAGGAAGGAGGTAAGGCAGAAGGCTGCGGGGGAGGCGGGGGGAGGCACGGGCTGCTGCGTCTTCCCTGTCTCGGAGGAGCCGGGCGCATACCTCTGCTCAGGGCATCTCTGCGGGTGTCTCTGCGTGTTTCTGTTCCTCTCCCTTCCCAGCAAGACCCATGCCTCCGGCCCCCTCAGTCAGGGTCCTCGGGAACAGCTGCTCGTCCCCAAGCCTGCCTGTCCTCAACCCTGCATGTCCCTAACCCTGCCTTGTCTTCAACCTTGTCCTCAACCTTGTCCGTCCCCAGCCCTGCCTGTCCCCAACTCTAGCTGTCCTCAAGCCTGCCTATTCCAAACCCTGCCTGTCCCCAGCCTTGCATGTCCCCAACCCTGCCTGTCCTCAACCCTGCATGTCCTCACCCTTGCTTGTCCTCAACCCTGCCTGTCCCCAACCTTACATGCTCCCAACCCTGCCTGTCTTCAACACTGCTTGTCTCTTAACCTTGCCCATCCTTGACCACCCTCTCAATCCTCAACCCTGCCTGTCATCAACCTTGCCTGTTTTGCAACCCTGTCCCTCTCTCAACATTGCCTGTCCCTCAACCCTGCTTGTCCCCAACCTTGCCTGTCCCCAGCCTTGCCTTCTCTGCTTTGCTTCCCCTGCCTGTGGTGCTGTGATGCCACATTGCCCAGGCACCTCTTTCCGACTTTCTCCCATGATACACGTCTTCCTTATCACAGAAATGTCATAAATAATTTAGCTCTGAAAAAGGCTTATTTCAGAGCACAGCCCCTCACTGGCACTGCAAACTTACCCTCCCTGAGCTGCCCTCAGCCCTGTCCCTGACATCTAGGTGGCTTTTAAGCTTGATGGGCTTCTGAAGCGCTATTGTAATTGTAGCAGCAAAAGATGATGTCTAAAACATTTGTATATCAGCCCTCAAATACTTCATTTAGAAAAGTTAATATTTGTAATTTGCAATTACCTTTCTGCTAATATTAGCAAAACTTCATTTCTCACAACTACCTTTTCTGTTTTCCTCCCAGCAGTCAACAGTTCACAAAGTGAGAAATTCCACTCTTTCTTTTTCAGGAGGCTTTTCAGACTGAGCTGTCTATGTATTGACTCATTTATTGAGAGAGAGTGTTCTCTGTTTTAGTAATGAATGAGGTTCAGAAGAGTTATAAGTATACGTTGAAAGTCTTTGGAGTTTGAAAGACCACCTCTTCATCTGCTTTCCACCTGGCAAGACTTGCATAGTAAGTAAATGACTTCATTTATGCTGTTTGGAATGAAGATAGATTTTAATTTTACCAATAAATTGCAGTAATTTCTAGATCCTTTTGTGTTCTTCATGAATCCTATGCAATTTATGGCACTGTGTGGTGATATTTTAAAACAAATTAAATTCCACAAGAAGGCATTCTTAAAGAGGTAAGATTTATGCTTTCCTCCCTTGACCCCAAAATATTTGCTCAAACAGTCTGATGTTCAGAAGAAACTATTTTTTTAAAAAAGGAAGTGGCAAACCTCTGGGGCCAAAGTCAGGTTTACAAAAGTGTTGCTCAAAATGAGCTGTTCGACCAAAACTGAGGATCACTTGAAGGTACCAGCCCCCTTTCATTCTAGGAAAATAAGAAAAAATTATAACAATGTTTAAATACACACAATTATGTAGTCCATGAGGTATCATTAATGCACTTTACAGAACTTACACTTTTGGTTTGTTTGAAGATTTTGTTGGCTTCACACTGGCACAATGATTATTAAGAACCATTTTTTTGTTGTTAAAATTCCATCAGTGGTTTAAGCATATTTGAAATTTTTTAAAAGCATACTTAAAACTATTCTTGCTTTGGATCATACAGACAACTGGGGTTTTTAGTACCTTTTTTCACTGAAACTCATTCCCCACTGTTGTCTCAGCATTTTTCCCATTGTGTATTTCTGTATTTCTTCACCAGGCAGAGAATCTTTGCCTTTACTTTAAAATAACTCTCAATTGCTTTCTGAAAACTAATAATCTTATTTGGTTCCTTGAAGAATCTCTTTACATTAGCTGACTTTCACCAAAAGCATATATCTTCCTCTCTCCTCACACCCCCACCCCCCTTTTTTTCCCTCCTAGTGTTTCATTGAAGAGTACTGCAAACCATATGGCTCAAATGTAAATACTGTTAGCCTAGGGTAGAGCAATTTCAGGCAAATTGATCAGGTTCAACAGCAATGTGAGCGTAAGATTAAGCACCTGTGCTTTGCTCCTTAATAGCAGCCACTAATCTGATGGCTGGTTATTACTAAGTAGGTTGCATTTACTGTGTTCTTTTATCCCTGTTAAAAGAATGGAGGGCTCTGCTCTGCATTTAGCAAAACTTCAAGTGTGCTGATGTGGTGTGCCAACAAAGAATGGGACTTAGAATTAAAAATCTGGTAATAAATGATATTATCTTTAGGTAGTGGATCATAGTTTCATGGTCAGCTGTATTTCTTCTGAATGTGATGGGGTGAAAAATGAAAAGCAGTTTCAAGAAATGAAAACAGAGAGAGGCCCTAATTTCCTTTTAAAGTGTAGCATTTTGAACCTCCTTGTGTAGAAGGGAACTGAAAGCAGATCTGATGGGTGTTCTCCATGACCCTTTAAAGTTGTTTGTTGCAGTATTCTGCATCCAACTTCTTCTAGCTGCTTTCTAAATCTGGATCTGTCTACCAGTCATTTTGAAAAAAGGGATGTGAAACACTTCTTTCATCTCCTTACAGTGATTTATGGGATGATGGCGTACTTGTAAAGAACTGGCAAGAATGGTAAGAGGGAGAGAACAGCAACACAGCTTGATGTCATTCTGGAATATTGCTGGAAATGCAGTAACCTCTGTTATCCATCTGCTTTAGACCACAGGAAGTTTCTGAGTGAATCTCAGGGCACTGTCTTAGAACAGTAAGTATTTCTCAAATTACAAGAGGTTTAGGTAGTAAAACCAAAGAAACTGATGGCTAATGAGATTTCTTTTGGCAGTTCTCTGTGAAATACATCTTGTGTGTGTCTTGTATGTCCATGCATGTCTGGGTCAGTGACTAAGCAAGGTTGTCTGTCTTGGATGCAGAGGTTGAACTGAGCTTATCAATGTGTTCATTTTGTAAGCAAAACTGAGGCAGAGTCTTTGAACTGGCTCTGCCTTGGGTTGTGAGCTAATCTGCTGTTCTGAGAAATCTCAGAGCAGATACTCCATGCTGGTATTATTTAGTAGTGTTTTCCATTTGCCTTTAAAAGCACAGTTCACTACATAAGAAGCAACAGAATATGAGCTTCTTCATCTCCTACCCCTCAGTGTAAATGTTAGCTTTTTAAGCTGGCACTTCTTGATTCCATAGACAAAATTGTGAGGCAAAATTTTAGATCCCATTGTTTTCCAACAATTTCAGAATTAGCCATCAAGATGTCTGATCAATCAACATTTTATTGTTCTCACTGAAAGCAAGGAAAGTTTCTACTAGCTGTTTCTACACAGTCCAGTATTGCAAAGTTTATACTCGGTGACGAAAAAAGCATTGTCCTATCCTGTAGGTGTCTTCTGGCTTGGGATCTAAATTTGAGTGCTTCTGCAAGATTGTCAGTTTGATCAGAAATGTGAAATACATCTAGTGAACAAGAAAATGGAGGAAGAAAACCCTGCAGTGCTTCTGAATTTAAAATAAAGTTGCCACGAAAAATCTAGATACATTGGGGGTTGGAACTAGATGATCTTAAGGTCATTTCCAACCCTAACTATTCTGATTCTATAATTCTGTGATTACCTGATGTATGAAAATATCTCTTGTGATAAAAATGTGTAACTTTGGAAGTGTGCATTTGGAAAGGCCTCTTCAGTACCAGGCAATAGTTATACTGCTCAGATGCCCAAAGGATTCTCTTTCACTGTACTTGTGATAAATTGTGAATCTGTTTTCCTTAGTCTTTCAGAACAAACAAGAACAATTCAGTTTCATTTTTCTGGAGAAGAAGTGAGAAATAAGAAAATGATTCTGATTTTTTTTTTAATGCTTATTTTTGAATCTGCCACTGGTAAGTATCAATCTTCATTTCAATAGTAGAACCTTTAGAATAGTTGATGAATATGTGGCATCTTCTTGACAGTTGCTTAGAGTGAGGTAAACATTACATTTTGCAGTGAAGAACAAAACCTTAAAGATTTCGGCAATTTCAGCCAAGCTGCAGAATTGGGAAATTTGGTCCAAAAACCCCAAAATTATGAAATTAAAAGAGCAGAAAATCTACCTGGAGACACCTGATGATGTTGTGTGGGAGCATGGCTTTGTGAAAAGCCACAGCAAGGAAGAGAATGAGTCTTTTTGTGCCATTCAGAAGTGTGGTCGCAATAGTGGCTAAACAATAATCTCTCAGAACCTCAGGACAAACAGAGACAGAAGGCTTATGTTATTTTGACTGTTGTTTTAGACTATAGTCCCTTTTCTGTATTTTTATGACTTCCTTATGCCAAGATACATTTGGGAAATTTGTTTGGAAAAGTAGACTTTGAGACTAAATTTTACACACATAATCTCATTCCAAAGCAACTTCCCCAAATATATCTGAAGCTTTAAAGAAATCTAGCTATATAATGATTTAGCTTTAATTAAGAACATAAAAACCTGCAAATGTCAATTAAAAGAATCTCTGCTTTTGTGGCAGTTGACCAGTTCTGAGTATTATCTGTAACTGTCAAGCCAAACCATATGTGAAGAATTTCTCCTTTCCCTTCCATTTGTGGCAGCTGCTGGTCTGTAGAGTGAGTCCAGATTCTGCTGGTTGTGCCCATTTGATTCTGAAACTGTTAGATCCATGTGAAAGAAACTTAGTGAAATATCTTTTTTTACCCTCCCTCTCCTTCTGGTTTTGCTTGTGTGACATAGAATGAAGAAGACTTGGAAAACTGAGTTTTCCAGTAAGAACTACTGAAATAAATAAATGCTGCAAAACCACTCTGCTGAAAGGAAGTCGCTTTATAAGTCCAGCAGTAACACAGGTGACTTTGAAGTCAGGCTAATGTAATTTTATGAGAGAAGTGCTTGGCTTTCTAATGTATTTTTCTTCCCCTCTCTCTCTAAAGGGAAGCTGTGTCCCCTTCGTGCTTCCATTGATGTGCTAGAAGGAGAATATTTTTTCCTTTGTTATCTTGAGTCAATGCGAGAACACTTTCAGGAAGGAGCATACACAATAAACTGGTACAAAGATAATGCTGGAAAGCAGGAACTGATAAAGGAATCACACAGAATTGTTTCCCAAATGAATTTTCTGGAGTTTTGGCCAGTTGAACTTGGTGACTCTGGGAATTACTCTGTCATTCACAGGTAGGTGCACAAGCCAGTGGCTGAATAGCTTGCCTTTGTGCTTGTCTATGAAGAAGATGATTTGTTTGTCTTGCTTTGTATTGTTATTGGCATCCATACAAAGGAGGTACATTACCTGTACAATCACCATTCAGGCAGACCTATAATATTTACAAATAGCTGTAGGCAGTTGTAGCCTTTTAAAGGTTCTGTAAACCTTTTGATAAGGCAGGTAGCATTTCTGCTGGGTTGTGATTAATTACCCAAGCAAAATGAGTGATAGGCAACTCTTCTGTCCAATGCCAAGTAAAAGGAAACGTTTCCTTGTCTTCTCCACCAGATTTGTGCTTCCTTATTCTGCTGAGTGGATCTCATGCTATGAGGCCTGCCAAGTGATTTAATTGTATAGTAAAGTAATAAACAAAGAGTGGCATAGCTGAACTCTGGTTTCTGTGCAAACCTCTTCATACTTGGAGACATTCAAAGAACAGCTGAAATAAATGGATTTGGTATCTTACTGCTGTAGAACATAGTGAGTCAAAAGAGAAATAAGGGTGGGCCTCAAGTATTTGGTGGTTAGCTTCATTAGAACACCATGAAAAACTAAAGGACTAAATTAAAGTTCTTATACTTATGCATTGAGTTCTTATACCCAACTTGCACCAAAACTGTAATTGAAGCAATAATTAATTAATTTAAGCAGGTTGTTTTGGACGTAATGACTTGTGCTGTTCTTCAGGTGACATTGCCAAGGTTCTTGAGTGGTTTGTAAATTACGGGACTGCCGATACTGAAAAATGTTCTCCACATTTCTGCAGTAACATCACAGACACAAGTTTGATAGTTCACAGTTTTGAGCTAGACTTCAGTACTTAACTTCCAAGTTAACTTGGAAGCTGAAAACTTCATGTTTTATTTTTCTATGTGTCATTATTATTATAATCTTACTTCTTAATAAAAATATGTATTTTGACCACTCTGAAACAACTTCTTTTTTTTCTCCAAAATATTTTTTTCCGTTAGGGCCATACAGATACTAATTTTTCTATTAGGATCAGAATGAAGGCACATGCCAGAATCTTGCAAATGTCGTACATGGACTTTTCACAAGTCTCACTTCTGGAGCAATAGGTATAAGGGATTTTTTCTTTTTCATGGAATTGGAATGGTATTTCTGGCTTAGTTTATATGATGGTTCTCACTATTGGCAAGCATATTAACACACCTACTTTTCAACAAACATTAAGATTATTTGCAGAACCGTATTTCTGCAGAGAGAGAGGACTTTTAGTAGTCTCCACTGATAAGGAAAAAGTGTGGGCTACTGTGGACTACTGCATTGGTTTATGATGACAATTAGAATGCTATTAATTTCATTTCATAGCATTTATAATAGGTTAAAGTTTTGGTTTTGAAGGTGGACAGCTTTTTATTTTCAAATATTTAATTTAGAGGTAATTGTAAGCAATAGGGGAAATGATTTTTAGAGTGCTTGTAACTGTTCAGGCAGTTTTAGTGAACAAAGTGACATACTGCAGATTTTGAGAAAAATAAGACAACACATGTTGACAGATTTTGCAAATTGATTAAATCTCTGGATTTTATTTTTCCTTATATGATATAATTGACAATATTCAAGAAGTGAGAGATGAAAATTGTATAACAATGTTTTTATAGTGTGTTATACACTTATTTTTGACTTAAAGTATCAGATGTTTTACAGTTAAAGCAGAAGTCTACTGCTAAGGCACAGCTCAGATAGCTAAAGTGTATGTATGTCTGTGTTGGTGTGTTCACATGTTTGTTAGTATAGTAGACAGGATATAAATTCAGAAATGAATAGGAATCGCTTGTAAGCCTGAGCATGTGTGCATCTTCAGCAATGTTTCTTTGAAAGTAAAGGATTTCATATGCACTGTGGTAAGCATTAAAACTGTGTCACACATCTTTGGCAGGATTTCTGTTTTCTATGTTGTTTCATAGCTTATACCCTGTGGTTATCAAGAAAATAAAAGCAACCCAGAACAGAATACAAAAAAGCAGGTCATCTGGTTACTCTGAGTTGGTGACCTTGAAACTGATGGAACTTAACAGGTTTTTGAAAAACGCAAAGGTACAGATATCCACAATAAACACATTTTAAGATCCTAATACTTCTCACATTTTCACTGCGTTTAGAACAGTTGAGAGCAGTGGGAATGCACATATTTAGAGTTAATATCTTAGTTAGGAAAGCAGGATGACAGTTTCTTTCAGTAGGTTGAAATATTGTTACAGTGAAATAGTTAAGGGATGGCTCTAGAGCTGGCTATGTATCCGGTAAATTTGGTCTGTATTCTGTAAGGGCTTTCACTTCCCCGTATCCTCTCCTGAGTGAAGCCAGTTTTTGTTGTTCCTTGGTGGGGTTGGTGGAGGGAGTTGGAAGGTTGTTAAACTAGAAATGGTTTTGTTCCCCACAGATTATCACTAAAATATCTCAGCCGGTGAAAACTAGGCTATAAATGCAATGGCTTAAATACTAGCATATTAAACAACACAACTTTGTATTTTGGGGGGATTGAAAGCCATTTATATGGTAGACAACTAGAAATTATGTAAGGCCAAATTAAATTAATCTTAGTTTGCTTAGATACAGTTTTGTCACTCTCCAGGGAGCTGCTCCTTGTTTTGGCACATCAGGTAGAGTATCTTGACCCACTTTGGGTGAAATCCTCATATTTATTGAAGTGATTTCACAAAATATGATCACAGAAGAAAGCATCTGGAGTGACAGTGCTGAGGAGAACACATGGCTTTATTGATCCTTTTCTTCTACCTGCTGAATCTAGATAGTAAAATTGTATGTATTTTGTGGCTAGATCTGTAATTGCCTCTCCAGCAGTATTCAGATACTAGTATGATGCCTAAAGAAACACACAGACTCAGTGGAATTAATTGGAGCTAACTTTTAGGTCTACACCTAGACCTATCGTAGGTACCTGTTATCATGAGGGAGAGAGTGTCCTTTCTGGGGCACAGATTATCTTGTCCTAAACCAAACATATAAAATAGGTCATGTAAACTGCACTCTAAAAGGGTGGCTATTGTTCCACTGCTGAGTATGATTACTAGCTCTAATTTAAATGTGTAAACATGATGTTGAAGAATTGGTGAGAAGGACTTCAACTCCACCCCCCCCAATACCCATGCAAGAGCAGCACTGATGAAAAAATTTTGATAAGGTTTTTCCTGTTTATGACACCTCAGTTAACTGATTGAGAAAACAAACCACTATGTTTTGATTTATACTGTCAATTGCAATTATGAGTAATGAATATCTCAAGTGAGTAATGAGAACTTGGGTAGGCTGAAAAAAAGCTACAGTGTGAAGACAGTGTGAAGTAAGTATGCCTGACTGGGGAGCTTAAAAAGGAGGAAAACAAAAACAATCCCAAACTGGGTCTAAATTCATCATATAAATGATGTCCTAACAGTTCTTCTGAATTTTTAACAGTAAAAGACATGTATTTAAACTGATACACTTGTCAGGCTTGCTTCTCCATTTCAACTGCTCTGTTCCCTTAACGCTTCTCATCCTTCTTTACTAGTTTCAGTTCTCCTGGGAATGATTCCTTTTTCTTTTCTTGGAGACAGAAAGATTCAAGCAAATTTATGAAGTGATGACTTACACTGGAGGGAAGTGCTCTGTGCTGCTTTTGCTTTGTCAGAACTTGTTCAGTAAAAAATGGGAGCTTTATGCATGAACTGTGAAATCTGACTCATAAACTTACACCAGCATATGACTTTCTCTTAAGTCCTAACTTTGCAAAAGTTATGCCAGCTTTGCCAAACTTAAGCTGGAAGTCCTCCAGCTTCTTTTTGCTTGGTAGTCACGTATTTGGACATATCCAGTAATGGAATAACTCACAGCTATGTTCTGATTCTTTAGAGGAATATGTGGATAGAACACTGTAGATATCTGAGTGACAATGCTCAGCTCCTAGATATTCAAAAGAGGCATTTTTTTGAGCATATTCACCTGATCTGCAGATCTCTGATCTGTGCAGACTGAAAGACAATGAGATGAATCCTTTCCAAAATGCCTTGTTTTGCAGGCATGCTTGAATCCATAAATGATTCTGTCATTCATGAAACTTGCATAGTTTAGAAATATTTCCAAAATATTGGTGATTATCTGCACACTATCAAAAGAATGAGTAATGTTGCTTTGTGAACAGTAGCAGAGTTGCCCATCTTGTTACTGTTTTAAACCTTGTCATGACACAGGAGAGTAAGCCTGAAAAATCACAAGCTGATTCAAGGTCCTAAACCTCTTTTATGCTCATTTGTAACTATACATGATGACACAGATTCTTGCATCCTTTTTTCTGGTCGGTATAGCATACATTGTCATATTTCATAGATGTAGCTGTATTGTCAAATGTTTTGTGATAGATGATTTGGTTTAGAAAACCTCCTTTGTTATGGGAAACGCATATTTGGGAGTGGAAAAGTAATAAAGAGGAATCTAAATAATTAGGTCACTGTAGATGTACTTTTTACCTAACAGATGTATTAAAGAATTGATTTGTGTTTTGCTGTGTAATTCACTAAGCTCCTAAAACTGATTTTGCTAACTTTTTTTTCATAGCAATGGAAAACAAAATCTCACAATTCAAAAGTGGACCTTGAATGTACTTGAAAGAAACAAAAGCAGCTGTTTCAACAAAAATCATTTAACTACAGAAATTAAAAATGCTGGAACTGGTCATTCACTGAAATGCAGTGATTTGTCTGTCACTGAAAATAACAGCATAACATGGTACAAGGTAATTACTGCAACTGTCACTCAAATAATTGGCTATAGAAACAAAACCTCTGATTGCAGCAAAAACTAATTGCAAACAAATTTTTAGAAGCATCTGTAAACCTTGGAAAGCTTTAAATTCTCAGATTATTAGGGAAAAATACATTCAGAAATAGGTACAAAAGCAAATTTTTCTCTGCTTTCAGATTTGTTAGAAAAATGTACCTGTAATTAGAAATTTTTAATAAACTCATAGTTTGGAATGGTAAAAGATCTGATGCCCATGGCTGTCTGCTGATTTAGCTAGCAAATGGATTATGCAGCTGGATTATCCAGCTGCTACTATGCTGAAACAGATATTATACTGACACTAAATAAGGTGCCAAGATATTTGTTTTACAGTTGGCATGTACTTGTAAAGTAATTGCAAACTTTTCAATTTTGCTGTTTCTGAACACTTTTTACAAAATATGTAACAGATCCATTTCTGCTCATTTTAGGCATATCACTGAACTTCTCTCTACCAGGTCTTGACAGATCATAGGTGATAGCTGTGCAAGCACCCGTAACTGTTGGGTATTGTGCTCAACCATTGGATGAAACACCCTGCCCCTATACTTTGCCTTATGCAGTGCTCCTCATTCCTCTCTGGTGTCCTGGCTAGAGTAACAGACCCGGTTCACTCCATGTTGAATAAGTTTCAGGAAGAGACTTTGGCTGCTTAAGTACGGGCATATGGTTTCTCTCTACCCTAAGTAAGTTGAGATAGAACAGATGCCTTTTGTATAAGAGAATGAAATATTGCTTGGTTTTCATAGGTATTTCACTTTGCATGTTCTATGAAATAATAAAACCCCCCAAAAAACCCAACCCAAGGAACCAGAGTTTATTCTTTGGGATAGGGAGGTTAACAAGTCTGAGTCCAGCCCTTGACATCCTCTGAGATGTTCACTTTCCCTATTATTGAGATATTTTACTTTAACCTGAAAGATCCTTCTAAGTCTAGACAGCTTTTGGCCACGAGAAGGTGACATCTACAGAGCCAAGGAATCATTCTGAAGAAAATAGATAAGTGCATTTAAATTCCCAATACAACATTTTTATACCCAGACGCTTACTTAGAACTGCAGGGCTCTCAACTTCTAATGGGTTAAATGTTCAAGTGTTGCATTTAAGTCAACATGTCTGAAAATTGGGCCCCCACCTCCTTTGGGTCAGGTAAATGTCATTGAGATAGTAAAAGAGTGATGATGACACGGTTTCAAAAACAATTTTTAACTTCTTTAAGGTTTTGAATGTATGTTTGCTACAGAATAATATTTTCTGTCTTTATTGGTGCAGGACTGTAAGAACTATGAAAATGCAACAGAGCAGGAACTGGATTTTGAAACCTTAACAGTACAGCACTCAGGGATATACACCTGTAAAATTTTAATCAGCCATGAAGGAAAGATATACCACAGCACAAATACAATTAAGCTGGTAGTAGAAGAAGGTAAAAAAGTTTTATAAAATTTGGAAGTATGCTTTTTGGTTCTTTCTACTATGGAGATTTTTAATTACATTTCTTATTTGATAAATACGTACCTCGGTGATCAAATCTGGTTTGAAATATTCACAATAATTTCAAAAATTTCAAAAATAAAAAGAAGTTTGCGTGACATTACCAATTGGAAAATTTATTTAGTATGTTTTCCCTGCATTGTTTTATTTTTAATTTCAAAATTAGCTGCTGTAAGTCAGTCATACAAACTTACTAAGAGTTTTGGGGAAGAGCATTTCAAACACTGTAAGTTGCGCACTGTATAAAATATATGCATTTGAGAAAAATTCAGCAGGACATACTGTGTTTTAAACTACTCAATTATGCCAGAGTCCAGATAGTATTCTTTGAATTAAATGGAATGTATGCAATTAGTTTTAGAAATACGTAATTTTCACTGTGATAGAATGTAAATAAGCTATTACTTCAATGCAATACTTTGTATTTTAGATGCACCAGAGACTGTAACTTTGGAGATAGTTGGACGCCATGAAGAAATTGAAACAGAAATAGGTATGAAATCAGTACAAGAATCTTTGTGATAGCTACTGCACATATATGCTTTTTTTCTGATCTCCTTATGGTTGATGGCCTGGTTAAGTGTAATAAAATCAAGAACTGTTTGATTCTCCTAGATCTGATCCATCCTTACATCTGGTTATGGTTTTGTTTTGCCAAATGTATTCCATGATTGGTATACAAGTACACTAAATGTGCTCTTTTATAGAGGTAGAAGCTGATGTTGCTGCTATGACCAGCAAGAGAAAGTGGTGGTGATGATAAATAATCTCTCCATAGATTTCTTTTGTAGATAGCTAACCCCACAGAATAATGTGTGAAAGACACACAGTTTGTTCAGTGAATACCAATAATGAGGAATTCCCTTAGTACCTAACTTAGTTGAGGATGTTATTCTGCAGGGAAATGGATAGTGTGAGGGCTGAAAGTCCTGGTAATGTGAACATGAAGATCTGTCACTGCTTCAAAGAATAGATCATATTGTCAAAAGCCAAGACCTTAACCTTGCTTTTGGCTGGGAGTAGGTTAGATAACATGGTCTTCAGTCTTCACACAGTGTTGGAAAGGATCCAGGATTTTATAAGGCTGTAATTAAATTTTAGAACATCTATAAAACATTCTGAAGGGGTTGCAAAGTCCAGAACAGAGCACTGCTCATGGGATACATTGCCTGGAAAGCTGTCATTTTGCTGCACTGCAAATGTGAAAGGTCCTTCTGACTAGATCTTTTCATGTTATGCTTTTTTTAGGTAAAGAAGAGATACTCAATTGCACAGGATTCTTGGGTTATTATATGCCAGAAGATGCCAGCCTCTACTGGTTAATTAATCAAGAGTTTCCAGAAAAATGCACAGGTATCCCCGAGACAGACCCTTCAATATGTGAAGAAGAATGCAAAAAATTACAGTAGGTTTCCTGAGAATACTGCATTTTTGTTTGTATGTGACAATGTCCTGTACTTTGTGGAACTGCGAAGTCAGTAAAACCTCCGTCTGAGATTACTTTAGAACCTTTTCCTCAAAATCTGCCTCTGGGCTAGTTGTAGGCTTCTCTACAGATAGCGTTGCTAACACCATTCCTTGTTGCAGGCTGGGAAACAAGTTCTATGTCACAAGGTTACTACAGATTAAAAAAGTAACAGACGAGGACATGCGTCATAATTTCACCTGCATGTTGCAAGCTGATGAAAGAACACAAATAAAAATAGTGAAACTGAAGAAAGGTACAGTTTAATCTGTGAATAATACTTTCTCAATTACTAACTATGCCAGCCTTCTCAGTCCTGATGGCAGGGTACTGATTTCAGAACATCTTTCCACGTGTCAGTGTGCTTATGAAGGGCCTGGCCCATCTAGTGCTGGACCTAACAACCCCCCGGGTGATTCCTCCTGCTCTGAGACAGGGGCAGCAAGAGTTGCTGCTATGTCTCCTAGAGCAGCTGTGTGAGGGATCCATAGGTCAACTCTGGTGCTGTGGACACAGATGGGGAGGCTGAGCTATGCTCCAGCTGACGGATCCCTGGGTGGCACTTTGTTAGATCCCATCACAGAATGTTCCCTGTCCCTTCCTAATTATTAGATTAGTGGGATCATGGGGGTTAACTAACCAAAGTTTAGTGCAGCCCAAAGTCTGTTATTTGAATCACTTTGCCTATTAAGCAGCTCTAAAATTCCCCCTCCCCCTCCCCTCCCCCTCCTGAAAGGTCAATCTTTTATATTCCTGATAATGCCTGAAATGTTCTGGACCACAGTTTCTCTCTTGTCAGGGATTCTATCCTTCTAGCTATGGAAATCTGACATCTACCATATAGCACTACTTCACATTTATAGTCCAGACAGCCTGGAGATTTGTGGCAAATGGGAATTCTCCTTCCCTTCCATCTCTCTCAGACCTTTCCGAGCTGTACTGGGAGCAAATATGTGAAAATAGACTAGTCAAAAGATGTTGCATTTTATAAACCAAATGAAAGTCTGACTACAGTGAGCATGATTTCACAGTACTTTCACAAAGACTTCACATATTTAAGGGTAAAAAATATCTGTATTTTGAACTTAAAAGACAAAGATAATAGAATAATAATTAAGGGGGGGGGGGGGGGAAGCCTGAAAGAGACTAGAGATAGAAGGGGTAAAAAAAATTATCTATCTTGGTCAAAGGGATTAAAGGGATCATTACAGACTGTTATGGATAGACAGAGACGCGGGTGAAAGGTAGAGAATAACAGGAAATAATAAAGAACCTGAAAAATCTCATCATGAAAGGAGGTGACTACCAATTTGGGATGCTTTACTGTAGTGTCAGTCTTGATCCCACATACAGTTCATTTATGTGTGTGGTGTGCATGTGAACACATGCAAGGTTGTTCATCCAGTTTTTAGAGTAATCCATGTTCTGTAGTTCTCCATCTCAGGACAAATGGCATGCATATGTGCTTGAAGTATTAACAGGAAAGTATTCACACCAACACTGAGATTTTCTGGGGGTGATTTTAAGATGCCGTCAGTACCGAATAGACTAATCTTGTAATCTTGTCATATAGTACCTTTTGTTAAGGCTGTAATTTCCTGGGTATCTGTTTTACAGGGAACACCCAAGATCTGCCTGTGCACATTTTTACAACAGGAATGGTCCTTGCTGTGCTATTTCCATGTGTTGCTGTAGCTTCAGTGTTTGTCTGTGTGATGTTTAGAGTCGACTTAGTTCTGTTTTACAGGAACGTATGCAGAAGAGATGACACTGCTAGAGGTATGAGTTGGCTAATGTTGACATTGGAGTAAGTGTATTGATTAAAAAATAGTTTCTGGTAGGTTCTCTGAAGCAATCATCTGAGGAGCAGACAAAATAAATCCAGGAGTTTTGTGCCTAGAAACAACAAAGAATATGTAAAAGAGAACTTGATGGTCAGGTGCTAAAATAAGTTTGTTATACACCTGGGGCAGTAACAGCAAATAAACACAGTGAAGAAGCTGCTCCTGGAGCAGCTAGTGGAAGGGACGTGGTTAAATGCAGTTCAAATGTGCCCTGTTCTGCCATATTCTTCATCACAAAAGTTGATGAAGGTGGAGAATTATCTATCTGTAAAGAGGATGAGCACTCTAGAGTTGTCAGACAGGCAGATTGGCATGAATTTGTTTTAAATTGGTTAAAATGCTTCCTCGACTGTAGAGGCCACCGCAACGTTTATATGTATAACATCACAGTGTTTGTCACTAAAAGCACTTGGGAGCAGGAGGGCACACTACCAGTAATCTACCAGGCATCGTTGCTGTGACCTTCAGTTAAGGAGCAAGTCTAAGAGTCACCCAGTTCTGTGTATAATTTTTCTGAAATTGGCGTGAAAAAATATTGTTGTATACATATACCTGCTTTTTTTAGCCCTCCTTATTCTCTACATCAGCTTGAATATACTGTGGTGGTTGGGATGTCTGCCAATATTATTTATCTATCTGCTGATGTTAGCTATCACTGTGTATGCTGGCTTACTGGGAGGATCTCTGAGAACCTGCACTATGCCACCCTAGAGGAACTGGTTGTCTGATACTAGGCAATGGATTTCCTACTCCTAGAGCTTTTGCATGTGTAGGGTTTCATGGACTTTAGTTTGTGCTCTGTCTTATGAACTATATGTATTAAAGTATCCAGAAAGGGAAACAAAGAAGTACTGTTTAAGTTGCAAAGCTATGTGCACCACTGTATCAATTCAGATAGTTTTCTATGGCAAAGCTGAATTAGATATCACTCAGTGGGGCAGACCGTTCCTGGATTTCACGTTTGTAAATTACTGCCGAAAGCATGGCCAGACGTTGTATACTCTTATAATTAAAATAATAAATTGATTTATTCTCTTTTGCCAGTACCCATTCTACAGAACTACTTGATAGTTTTGCACAAAGAGTAAAATAAATGTGTCTTCAATATCATTTAAATAGAATTCTTACCAGGTTACAGGCACAGTTTTGCTTCCCTTAATTTTCTTTATCATCACACATGTGACATTAATTAGTTAAACTAATCTGATTTTTTAAAAAAACACCTTAATGTAGGAGGGGTATTTTTTTTCAAATGTTTGCCCAATGCAATTAGAATCTTTTGTATCAAATTTAAATTGATTCATATTTTTTGTCTGTTTGTTTCAAGACTGTTCAGGGTATCTAAGTAGTTTCTAGATGATTTGGTACTGAGACAATTACTTTGAAAACCAGAGTGGTGGGTCAGGTCCATGCTTCTAATGGTTACTAACAAGACAACAATTGGTGATTTCTTTCCAGATGGAAAAGAATACGACGCATTTGTGTCTTACCTGAAAGACTGTGTTTCTCCTACTGAAGAAGAGAGAGAATTTGCTTTGGAGATACTGCCCATGATACTAGAAGAAAATTTTGGGTACAAGTTATGTATATTTGAGAGGGATGTATCCCCTGGAAGAGGTAAGTGCATTGAATATTCTTGTCATTAAATAGGCACATCATTTTCTCACAAAGGTAAAAGTGTGTTAATTAGAAGGAATTCTCTCAAATGTGTTGTGTGTTTTATATTTAATCTAGACTATGTGCATGCAATGTTCACATGCACACATTTTACATGTTTTATAGATATTTTTATGAACTCATGTACCTAGACACTCACATACACACATATCTTTAATTACACAATACCAAGATAAATGGATGAAGAAGCTAACATGGAGAAAGATAAGGTGAGAATATAGATGATGTCAGATGTCTCACAGTAGTAGTGCTCTTGCTCTGCTTTTGCTGAGAGCAGGTGCCTACAAATGAACTCTTATTTAGTGCACAGAGTAGGTGGTGTCTCTGGTACTAGTTATTAGATAACTTGCATGTTTTTACTGTGCCTTCAGTGTGGTGGTTGAAACCGTTTTGTGAATGTAAAGGGTGTCATAACAAAATAGAAATGTGAACATGGAATTCTGTTTCTCTAAATGGCCTATGGATAGACAGCCTTTTGCAGATGCTTGGAAAAAAGATACTAGGGGCTTCAAATTAGTCCAAAGATCTAACTGAGGAATAGGATTTAATCGTTAAAAACACAGAACAATAAGGTCAGCCAGCTTTCTTCAGGCAGCATCTTGTCTCCTTCTACCAATTCCTGACATAGTTTTTTAATCTGAGAGGTACCACAGCTCTCCCAGTAAATGTTTTTTCCAGTTATTCTCTCCCCTTAGGTGCTAAAAAAAAGGCTTTCTGAAGTGTTCAATCTGATTCTTTCAATAGTTTTAACTTACTTCCTTTTCTTTGGTCTGATCCATTATGAATATAGAAAGCAGAGTATTTCCTTCTATTCACAGGACCTTTGGTGTGTTGCAATACTCCTATTAGCCTCTTTCTCCTCTCAATTTTCTCTTCAGGTTACTCGCACAGTTTGCTTTGCCTTTCCCTACAGGGCACATTTTCTACGTCTCTGATCTCTGTAGACTGTGTCCCATGGTGATGAAGCAAGCACAGGAAGTTGTGCCTGAGAATTCAGTTTGGTGCTTGGTTGTTTGAAGGGTATCACTATTTGATTTCATTCATTGCTTGTCATGACAAATGTCATGGATCTGAAACACAATTGTAACTCATTCTGACATCACGTGCTAGTCTTCTCAGCCTTGGATTACTGGCAATAGTTTTCAGTATTCTGTGGTGTAAAGGAAGGAGTAACCTGAGGATTATACTGAATATTTTGAGAGAGGTTGTTGTTGGTGTCTTTCTGTGGAATCACTCCAATGGTATCTATTACAAAAGAGCAAAGAGATGTCTTGTTGGAGGAAAAATACATTCTGCTGTCACCTTGTATCCATCTGACTACCAACAGCTGTCTAGGATAGCTGGAGACTGAATGTGGGTTCTTTTGTCTGCTCCAGAGAACAAGCTTTGGCCACACCTGAGCTCATTTTCATGGACTCTTAATCTATAATGCATATTAATCTTTCCATAGGGACAGAATGCTTACATGTCTTCTCTATAGGAGCATTATAAGGGAAGCATTTTTGGTACATTTTTGACTGTTAATGGATAAGTCAATTCAGTGCCTATCCTTTCAATTTAGTTTAATAATACGTTTATCTTTAATTTGCAGCGGTTGTTGATGATATCCATTCATTCATTGACAAAAGCCGAAGATTAATCATTATACTGAGCCAGAACTACATTTCTGACAGAGCCATATATGAACTTGAAAGTGGACTGCATAAGGCCCTAGTTGAAAGAAAAACTAAGATCATATTAATTGAGTATATGCCAATAAGTGACTACAGTTTCTTGCCAGAATCACTGTCTCTTTTACCATCAAAGAGGGTTGTGAAGTGGAAAAAGGATAAATCTCTTCCTGTGAATTCCAGATTTTGGAAGAACCTTCGGTACCTGATGCCAGCAAAACCTGCTAAGAAAAACATCAAAGGTCACTATAATAATCTTGCCCTAGGCTCACAAGGGGCTCAACCACGGACTGAGGGCTGTGAATTTAATGGAGTTGTATAACAATTCTGGAGGCAGAAGACTGTGCATTTTGCTAACTACTAGAAAACACAAACCGCACACTTGCTTTGGAAAGACAGTGTTCAGAAGAGGTCAAGTCTGGGATCTGAGAAAAATGTAGAAATTGCTACAGTGGCCAAGATGCTAAATGTTATCCCAGAGAGTTTCCTTAACAACCTGCACAAGAAGCAGGAATTCCATTCTGCTTAGGACTTGCCACATGGCACAAAACGCAATGCAGGACATTTTGATTTCACATTTTTCAGTAATGTAGAATGATATGAATTATACTTGCATACATGTTGAGTCCCCTTAATAAACGTATCTCTATTTGACACGTATTATTATTTAGATGCTTTTCATTTTGTATTTTGGATTTTCCTAAGGACCTTGCTTGGGAGCAGATTCAAACGGCTCCTGCCATATAGAGCTTTGCATGCAGGCTTTGGGCAATGTCAAGCAGAAAAAATCAAATGAAAACAGAAAAAAAAGGAGGTTAGAAAGAGTTAGGGCAGATTTGGTCCTACTAGCAGTATTCGCTACAGAGTTGTACGTAGTCTGGAAAAGCTAAATGGGGATGATTTGGAGGAATGGTAAAGACTGTTTCCATCCTTCTGTTTCACTGAGAATACTGTAAATGCTCATTTTGGGAGGGAGAGGAGGAGGGTGAGCTAGAGATAATAGTTTTTTGCTCATGAACACTGATATCTACATTATAACATGAGCTGCCTTTAGCTGAGGGATGTAGGGGATTTACATGAAAATGAGCTCTTCAGTATGTACATACACTCCTAACCCTTTGGAACATTTGTATTTAGTATTATTTTTTAAAACAAACATAGTAATATCATTCAAAAACCATACTAATCCTCCCTTATTATTAGTTGCCTGGCAGAATATACTAATCTGACATAAATTTGATAAAATGGATAAATCTGATAAAATGGAACCATATTTCCTTCTAGTGCCAATGGGGAGAAATCAATAGAGAATCATTTTGGAAGATCTTCTGTCAGTTTGCTAGGAGACCATCAAGGTTCAGCTCATTCTCCTCATTGTCTTGCATTCAACTAAAGCTACTTCTGAGGAGGCATTTCTTTGACACTGATACTTACTTCATGCAGCTGTAGTGGAGGGACTTTGTTACCTTCTCAGTGTACTTGAGAACACAATTGGAGTGCTGGATGTGTCCTAAAGGAAACACACAGCTAATTTGTGAAGGATGGTCTAGAATTCTATGTGTCACACCCAGATATCAGTAGACTGTATAACCTAATACAAAATGGACAGAGGTTTGTGTTTAGATATTGTTCAGACACCTGCTGTGACAGCAGAACCAACACCACTGACTCAGTGTAGAGATAATGGGAATGGAAAATTTCTTACCCACTGGTGTTAACCATAGCTGGGCAGAGGAGGAGGTGACATGTAAATGTGTCAAGGCCGAAGAGTACCAGAATACTAAAGAGATGGAACCTCCCAGCAATATAAGACTACACTACACACACACTGAGATGGTGCATTCCCCCTCCCTGTTCCTTGGGTGGCAAAATGCTTGAGCGAAAGTGAGATGGACAAGGTAAGACTGAATTTCCACAGGGGTGGGGAGGCACAATTTCCTGGAACTATAGCATCAAATATCAAATATGATATCTGTGTGTGAGTAGAGAAGGAGAGAGAAAGGAAGCAGGGACGGTACTCTGGAAACATCCTTTACCCTTTCCTTTATAAACTTGCTCTAGCAGCAAAGGATAAATTTGAACCTGTGAAGTGAGGCTGCTTTTCAGCCTATACATGACTTTTACAAAAGAGGAAAGGGTGAATTGGAGCAGAGGCTAAGCCAAATATTTGGTACTATTTGATAAGATTTTCATCCAGTCTAAGTAACCAGTATGACATACCACTCAGTCTTTTGGCAGCATGGTTTTCAAAACTTTATGTGACTGGTGCTTCTGTTGTATTTCTAAAATCTGCTCTTAAAGTTGGACTGCTCTACTTCTTTTTTTTGAATGCAATAAACCCATTACTTTGACAGTACAACAGCAGGGACTTACAATGAATGAGTAGACACATTTTGTGTCCTTAAAATGTGTCTTTGGGAAAGAACCATCTTTTCTGTCTGATAGCCTGAGCAATGGCTTAAAAGCATCATAGGTTGACTTTATCTGTGTTGCACTTTCTAATTCCTTCAAGGGAAGAGGAAAATACAGTGTTTCTTCTAGGCAGAAAGGACACCTTCAAAAAGCTGAGTTCTTTATAGTGAAATGTACAAATATACATTGGAGCCTTTTGTAATTCATAAACCAGACATGTATTTGGTATTGGGGCAAAATGCTAAGTATTTTAGGAGACAGTCACCAAGTTTAATCATCAATGGGGTTTGTTCTGGAAAAGGCAGAGAACTAAGTACACTTTGGAAGCGGAGAATACAAATCCTGTATCTCCAAATGCTCAGAACCCAACAGAATCAAGCATTAGTACTGGCCATTGCATAAAAGAATATGTACATAAGAAGAGGCAAGATTGAAATCTCCTGTTCTAGAGCAAAAAAACATTGTTTAGCTTCTTGTGGAAACAGAGAAATTGACCCAATGTGCAGTAAGGAGAGTGAACTTCACACAAAAAGAAAGAAGTCCTACTGCTCCTGAAATGACTGGTGCAAACTGCTGAACCTGTATATTTTACAACCTATTTTTGTTGTTGTATTTTGTTGTTGTATTATTACTACAATATTTTTCAACCCCTATTGAAATAGGGAGAACTGGGGTCTGAGTTGATGACAAAGTGCTCTCAGATGCTTTTGTGTAGTTTGAGTCACTGTACAGCCTGTCTTTTTTAGGGGATTTACATCCATACAGGAAGCCTGCAAGAGGGGGTTGCACTGTGTGGGACTGTATATGCTCAATGCTCTGCTGCTTAGTGGGGCCAAGGGGGCAAGACACAAATAGCCCACATTGATCAGGACTTCTCTTTCTGCCAAAGCTATGGCTGGGGTAACCAACAAGGCTTAACTGGGAGGACACAGATGGAATGTAATAGTGTGTCACAGCCTTCTTATAATGCCAACTTTCAGTGGGTGTGGAAAGTAGCTGAGAGGCTAGGAGTAAGGAGAACTAGGCTCTTATAGTGGATATTACTCAGTATTGAACAGAATTGTGGTTCTTTTGTAGATTTCAAATATTACACTTTCTTTTTTTTTTTTTTTAACCACCTAATAACAGCATTTAGGCAAAAAAAAAAAGTCCCAAAACACTTTTACCCTTCCTCCTCTTAAATGAAACAAAAAGTCCAATGCTTTTCTTCACACAATGGAAATATAAGATTTTTAGAACCCAAAAGGCTTTGATTTTTTAACTAAGGGCAAAGTATTTTCCCTTGTTCTTTTTACAAGAAAGTTACCAGGAAATTTTGAACCTAACAGAACTAAACTGAGAAAGGAAGGGATGATGACAGTGAGGTAAAGGAAATTCCTGTAAAGGAAACAGACTCAACACAGTGAACAGCTAGAACTAACCACATTTCTTACCCCATAGTGTAGGATGTGCAGGTAAGATTTTCAGATAATATATTTTTTTTTAATTATAACTTTTATCTTTGGATTTTACCCTACCCCATCTGCTTCATAGGTGAGTTGATTTATTATCTTTGAATGTGCATTTTAAAGTAAATCAGTTTTAGTTGCTTGGTCAGACAAAATGGTAGGGTCTAGTAAGTACCTTCAGTAGGGCTAGGGTAATTTTTTTTCTTTATAGGTATGGTGAAGCTTTCTTCTGTGTGATTATTACTAATCTTACTCCTAGGTTCAGATTAAGTTTGGTTTTCCACTGTTGTAAGTCCAATACCAGACACAGGAGTTGATAGCTCTGACGCTGAATGAAGTGATTTTCATCCGAATGGGAGTAGTAGATTATAAGATTGTGGCATGCCACTCTGTACTAGACTTCAGAGATATCATGAATCGTGGTGCAGCTCTCAAGAAGTTGATCTTGAGTTCTTGTGCTTATATTTTATGCAAATACACACAAAATGCTATGACATAGAGATTTATTGTTTTTTTGTGAGAGTCCGCTAAGAGTTTAAAGATATGCAAAATAATACAGTTTTTATTCTTCTCTTGTACATTTTTTCACCACAGGAAGTTGTGTTAAGGCCACATTAGTTTCCTTTGTATATGAGTTTCCAACTAAATGGCATCCTAATTCCCTACACTAAGGATACAGTAGTATGGGTGGGTACATGAAAGGAGAAGGTGGAGAGACTCTTGGTAATATGTTTCGAGAGTAGAGTGCTTTTTTTTTTCTTGCAGATACTAACCAAGATAAAATGAGTCACTGATTATATCGAGTTACTGATTCATCTTCAGACCCTGTGTAGTGCACTGGGTGGTCAGTTAAAGATTATTCCGCCTCAAGTACCCCGCCTTTGGTAATTGCTGTCTGCTTCTGCTATGAATTTGTCTTCTTGTCAAACACATTTGAAAGACAGCACTTATCAATTTCATGCACTACTGTACTTCTTAAGTGCTATAAAAATTCAAAGATTACAAGGTTCTCTAAGAAAAGTGTCATCAGTTAACAAAAATAAATTGGCAGTGGTGCATTTTCCCATGGCTAGCAGAAGAAAACTGAAAATTATACAGATTGCTAACCAAACCTGTAACATTCATTAGCTAACCATCTCTTCTTCCACATTTGTGTTGACCTATTGAGCTTGAAGACAATATTGTTAGCATGGCAATAAACTGAAGAGCAGAGAGATTATACATCACTGGCATTATTAAATGTAATAAATGTGACTTGTTTTGCTACAGGTAGCCTGTGTGTCCCCAGACAAATGGGCAGCTGGGAAGTAAATGCTTTCACTGCCTATCTTGTGCCATATCAGGCACCTCTCAGGTAGCTTCTCATGGCTTAACAGGTTGAATGAATCACCAGAAAGGATTGCAGCTGTTATAGGAAAGGGCCTGGATCATTTGCCTGGGATCAAGGGAGTGGAGAGGACAAAGAAATAGAGGAGACCTTCCACTTTTGATAATACTGACTGACTGCATCAGCTCACTTGCAGCACTGAATTACACACAAGGCCCTTGGGTCCTGCTTGCTGCCAACACCAGTATGTCTGTCCTGGTTTTGTCTGGGATGGAGTTATTTTTTTTCCTACTAGCTGGTATGCTCCTGTGTTTTGGATTTAGTGGGAGAACGATGTTTTAGTTGTTGCTGTGTAGCACTTACCCTGATCAAGGACCTTTCAATGTCCTGTGCTCTGCCAGTGAAGAGGGGCAATAGAAGCTGGGAGGTAACAAAGACAGGACACCTAACCCAAACTAGCCAAAGGGGTATTCCATACCACAAAATGTTGTACTCAGTGTATAAACTCTGGGGAGTTGATCAGGAGCCACAGATTGATGTTTAGGGGTGAGCTGGTCATCAGTCAGCGGGTGGGAAACAATTGTGCTGTACATCACTAGTCTTTATAGGGTTTTATTTCTCTCTTTTTCCTATTATTATTATTTTTATAATTATAGCATTTTAATTTATTTCATTTATTAAACTGTTCCTATCTCAAGCCACAGGTTTTACCTTTTTCTGATTCTGCTTCCCATCCCATTGGGAAAGGCGAGTGTAAGCCAGCGGCTGAGTGGTACTTATATTGATGATTGGGTTTAGACCACAACAGTGTCTTTGCCATGTGGGCTGTTGGGTGATGTAACTCATCCTTTGTTTTATACAGTATTAACAGGGGTAGAGATGCAGCCCTAATGAATGGCCTGAGAGAGGTCTTTGCAGTTGTCATAAAACCAAATTCAAGAGTAAGGATCCATTGATCCTTTTACAGTGGATAAATCCTAAAGTTTAGGAGGGCTTCCTCCCAGTGCCGCTGGGAAACTGTCTCTTTGTTCAGACATATGTATTGGTCAGGAGTTTCAGGATGATTTTGAAAGATGAATGGGGTGATGACTGTTGGCGGCAGCCAATCTGTTATAAAGCACCAGGATGCATTAAGACAAGTGAGTTAACCTACTCAATGTGACCTCCGAGTGTAAAAATAGATCATTCCGTTCACTTGCAAGGAATAAAGATGTGCTGAAGAGAATGATGACTAAAGTGCTCCTCTTTACACAGAACAGCTGCGTGAAAAAGTGCAGAGTGGGAGTTCTTTTCACATCTTTTGCTAACTCTGTGTGCAGTGGATGCTCTCTTGCTGCCTGCCAGTATGAGTGGTGTCTGATTTGCATGAGGTGACAACAGACAAGGGACTAGCCTTTGCCCGACCTTTCTTTTTGTCCTCTGGGCTGACTCAGTGCCTCTCTGGCAGATGTGCAGGTGCGGAGTCACTCTGTGGCCAAACGTGCAAAGGAAAAAGCTCCTTGAGGTCTCAGTTGCATAACATGAACATTAGCAAAGCACATGGCCTTTACTCCTGAATCAGGCACTCCAGACATGTCAATCACAGGCACTGGGTATGTTCTTACTAAATATGCAAATTAAGCCATAGCTGTTGAATATGCATGATTGACAGCCTGCCTTCCCTCTAGCCCTGTGGTTGAGAAGGCTGTGGTACACAGATGAAACCTCCTAGTAGGAAAGACAAAATACTTAATGCAATAGTGTTTGGGGTTTCATCTTGTATAGGGTGCTGTAATATAGGGGTCTGGGTGCAGCTGAGTGATTTCAGGTCCTGCTCCCACATCCCCTGCATGTCCCCAGTCTCAGCTCAGAGATAGTATGCCACTGAGCTGATACCTTATGGTGGAGTGGATGTTACCTTGTTGAGTAGGTCTCTCCTAGGGTCATTCAGGCAGTGCAATGCAGGACTCTGGTGCAGAAGCAAGGCCTGATGCTGCACGTATAGGTAAGTCATGGAGGAGAAGGGGTTTTTTTAGGTTCCTCTGCAGACCATAGTGGGCATTTTATGGTATATCCATTTTAGCTGGTAATAAAGCCCAATAGGAGCATGTCTCTTGAGTTAATGAGTTGGAACCAAAGACCTGGTGTCTATACAGTACATGCTTTTAGGGTTTTCCTTCTGCATAGTTCTGCTCCAGTCCCATGGACTCAATGCTGGCTGTAGCTGCAGAGCATCTTCAGATTTGATAATCCCAAAGGAATCCAGTTTACACATTCTGAGCCTATTGGCCTTCAGGATAAAACAAATCTCCACGGATTTTTGGGCCAGTTATGCCTTTCTCAGTCTGTTGCTGATAGTTGTCATTAGCTAAAGGCATATTTTGTTATTTGATATCTTATCTATCATCTTAGAGGACAGGTTCCTCTTCTAACAACAACGTCTCCTGCAAGACCTGCATTTCCATTCCAGATGTGGAGCTCTGCATTGCTGTAAACTTGGAAATCCCTCTGTGAGCAATTCTATGCAAGATATTTTTAAAAAGGATGTTCATATTCTTGAATATCATCTATCCTGCATTTGTGTGAAATAGTATGAATAGGAAGAGAGCTGCAAACCCTGTTTCAAAAGGCACAATATCTAGAAAATACTGTCTGTAAGTTTTATAGAGCTACATAAGAAGATATGCAATTGCCTATCTATATTACTGGAGTATCACTTGGAAAAGAACAAGTCTGTCTTCCTCTTTTACAGAAAACAAGATGATTCTTACAGAAAATACCTCAGAATACCAACCAAAATCGGTAAAGAAAATCATGCTCACTTTGTGCTGGATCCTAGCATTGTTTATCAATGGGGCAGAAGTTAGAGAGATTAACTTTTTAGGTAAGAGGCTGCTTTGGTGAGGTTTGGGGTTTGTGGCTCTTTCTAACAGCTGAGAAAACTCGATCTGCATTTTGACATGCCTTCATGACTTTTCCCTGCACCTGTTTATACTCGTGTAAGGCAAACAGCTGTTTCTAGTCTTTCTGTAAACTTTTTAAGTGTTGGTAATACAATTTACTGTAAATAGGATTCAAAAATCAGTTCCCAAATGAAAAAAAAATGGCAAATGTAAAGGAGAATTTCTGAGAACTGAATGGAGCAAAAGAATTGCTTCTCTAAGTCATCAAAGGCTCCAGCAGCTGGTCCAAGCCCACACAATGTATTTGAAGGAGCTTGATTCAATTCAGTTCACAGAGAGAAACCAAAACAGAGAATCTCCAGGTGGGCAGGTGAGGAACTGAAGATTTCATGCTGTCACTTCTGCTGAAGTGAAATCCTACCATATTTTCAAGGGTTACCACATCTTGACAGGCTGGAGGGGTTACACAGCGAAGTCAGTCAGCCTTCAGGGAATTTGGGCAGGTGACCACAGCTTTCAGCATCCAAAAATCTGTTTAATTTTAGTGACAGTAGCTGAAACATAAGAGGGGAAAGATTTGAAAGCAGCATAACGATAATGATAGTCAACCTTACCCAAAATAGGGAGTATGGTTGTCAGGCTCTGCTTCTTCAGGCTTATGTTAGTCCCTTCTCCATTAAGACGAGGAGGGCTAGAAAAGCTGCATCTACTTTCCTACAGAGTTGAGGTTTAACAGGTTAGCACCCATGTGAAAATCTTCGGTTGGCTAAAAATCTTAAGCTATTTTCACGTTAGGCTTTTAAAAAAGGCTTAATAAACCTTTGGAAACCTTTGGATGAACTTTTGAAATCACTGGCAAATTTCATTTTTAAGGAAATCAATTCTCTATTAGTCCAGCATCTGGTCACATAAAATTATTTAACAAAAAGGAAAGTTGTATTTTTGTAGTATTCCTAATTATATTTTTAAAACATGATGACTGTGTGGTCTTTCAGGTGGTGTTGATATTTTATTGTCCTGCTTTTCAGGATGTTCCCATGTTGAACCTCAAGTATGGTATCGTGCAATTAGTGGTGAGGAATTTGTTTTACAATGTGCTTTACCAGATAGAGATGCTACCCACATTTATAACAGCTCACTTCCAAAACAACAGAAGGTGAAATGGTTCTGGCAAAAAGACAAAGAGCCACTGAAGGCTGTCAAGGAAAGCTCTAATCCTGCTCTCCAAGGGGGTGCACTTTGGTTTAAACCAGTAAGGGACAGTGATTCCGGAATGTTCATCTGTATAATATGGTATGTAATGGAACAAAAGGCTTTTAATTCTATACAAGAATAATTGTTTTCTTTTGCTTTATTTTGTTCATTAAATGTTTAACTTTTTTTCCTGCATCACTCAGGGAAAAAATCTCGTGTCTCAAAATTGTTTTGGAGGTTCAAACAAAAAAGGTGGCAAAATGTTCAGGTTATGACACAAGCACGCTCTATCTTCTTGCTGGCAATGGGAATTCAATAACTTGTCCTGGGACAAAATGCTACAGCCATATAAAAAAGCCAGATGTAAAATGGTACAAGGTAAGAGTCATTGCCTTGACAATTCAAAAAAGCTCAGTGGTCTAGTTAATGCTCATGTGTCTTAAGTTTCTGAATTCTTGTTTGGCAGACAATGCAGCCTGAAAAGTTCAACACAAAAGTAGAATCTTGAATTACTATATATCAAGTTGACATGTAAGAGTTTTGATGAAATCTGCCACACCCAAAATATCATTCCACAAAAGAGAAGCCTGGAAATGCTTTCTCTCCAGTGGATTTTTTTCAGGAATTTGATTAATGGAAAATTCTTAGTGGTCTTAGAGAATATGAATACACTGAGTTGAGAAATATGGGTGCTTTTCAAAAATTAGTGAGTTTTGATCTTTTGAATAGAACAGTGTTGTCAATCTCAGATAATCCAAATCCATGATTTATTTCTCATGAAAGAACATAAAAATATTTTCAAAAAGAATTTATTTATAAAGAAAAAAATCAATCAAAAGGTGATATTTTTTGTTGCTCTTTAGTAATAGTTTAATTTAGATTAGGTTCATGATTTCACATTTCTCTCAAGAATCACAAATTTAAAATATTTTTTAAATGATAATCACATATTATAGACCAAATTTTTTTTTTAATATCACTGACAAATGTCCTCAGATTCCTAATAAATCTGTTTTTGTGATTCAATGTAATGAGTTTGGCTTAGATTTGCTGCCATGGTAACACTATCCAAATATCCTAAAATATAATTTAATAACAGCAAAAACAACAACAAAAGACTTCTAATTCCTTGATTTTTTTTTTATTTTTTTTTTTTAGGATGGTCATCAAATAAAGCATAGGAAAAACAGGAAAAGCCTAAAGCTTAAGCATAATGAAATCTATTTGAATCCAACCTATGACAAAGATGCTGGAATATATGTGTGTGATTATGTTCTATATGACAACACTACCAAGTGGACAATGAGAACAACAGTTACAGTAGAAGTCATCAGTGAGTAATATAATAACTCAGAATAGAATACATGAAGTAAAGTCTGTTTTCTCTATTCTTTCCTACCCTATTAATGTCTTTTGTTCAGACTCTTGTTCTGAAAAATCCATAAACTGAATTTGCTACATGATCATTAAAATCCTCTTCCAGGTATTCTGAGGACATCTTGACTAGAACTTTCAATTATAGAATCATAGAATGGTTTGGGTTGGAAAAGACCTTATGATCATCTAGTTCCAACCCCCTGACATGAGCAGGGAAACCTCCCACTAGATGAGGTTTCTCAAAGCCCCATCCAACCTGGCCTTGAACACTGCCAGGGATGGAGCATTCACAGCTTCCCTGAGTAGCCTGTTCCAGTGCCTCACCACTCTCACAGTAAAGAATTTCCTCCTTATATTCAATCTAAATCTCCTCTGTTTAAGTTTGAACCCATTACCCTGTGTCCTATTACTACAGTCCCTGATGAAGAGTTCCTCTCAGGCATCCTTGTAAGCTGTTCAGTAACAACATATAGCATAAAATGCCATGATTTTCAAGATCTAATTCCACCTTGGATTTCTTGTGGCTCCCAACAGTGGAGACCAAGTCTATAAAAGGATTTAGATCTCAGAGTAGAATTCATGAAACTCCAACCGGTGCCAATGAGTGCTAATCCAGAGCTCTATGGCACTTTGATATGGCATGGCTTTATATTCTCCTTCAAATCATGCTAACCTCTTCCATAATATTTACTGTCCTCTCCTGCCCTTTGGGTGAGAGCTGTTGGATAATGTCAACAAGGGAGCGTGCTCGAAATTCAGGATCACAAAAGAGGGAGACTGTTTATATTGCTAGAAGAGAGATGTGGTTATGCTTTACTCCAGATGCCTGTGGTTAAGTGCTGGTTGAGACTTTTATTTCCTAGAGGAAAGTACAGCTACTTTCTATAGTGCAGCATGGGACCCATTCTCAGCATCCCTGTAGAAAGTGTGCCACTGTGGAAGGGAGAACAAGATTTAGGGAGCAAAAGAAAGGTGTCAATGGAGGCAACCTGGTTCTATAGTCTAGTGAGAACATCACTCCTCTGAAATTCCATGGTCTAGGGGAGTACAGCACTCCTCTGAAATAGCTGTTCCCTTTTTTGCAGATGTTTGAGGCATTTGGTACCAAGAAGTCATGGAAAAAATATATACTCCCCACCAGAACAGGGTCTGGAAACCACACCTCACCAGCTTTTGAGACATCTGTGTTCTGAGTTACAATGCTCTTTCACTCCTTTCTCTGGCTATATTCCTGAAATATTTTCCAATCAGTCATGAAATAGCTCTGCTTTTATTCTGATCACACTAAGCCTGAGCTAAGCACTGTGCTTCTCAGTTCTTTTCCCTCACTTCACAGCACACCCAGAAAAACATTTGAAAGGAGTCATGTACATACATAATTGACCTGAATCTTGCATACATTTCTCTTCTGTGGCTTGGTTTAAAAGAAAACCCGAAGTGTTATGTGGCACCATTTCCTGCAGGATGGGACTTTCCTAGAATATCAGAGCTGTGGGTTTTAGCACCTTCAGGTTGTTTTTCCGGAGGCTGGGTACTTACTTAGTAGCTTGTATGAACTGTGGGCGCCATTATCTGTGCCCTTTGACAGCCCTTGTTATGAAAAGAAAAAAAAAAAAAAGAAAAAGAAAAGGTTGTTTTAATGCAAGTATCTGTGCTCTGTGTGTGCTTAATGGAATGGGGATTGGCATGGAACACCTTCAGGGGATTTTGCAAGGGGAGCCCCTAATTTCTAAGTTCTAAATAGCCTTAAGCACAAGCTACAAAGTCTCAGAGTAACTGAGATAGCAGGTCTTTAAGTAGCTATATGAGGTTTGTGTCAAAACTCCCTTATCTGTGTGGTTTCAACAGCCCTTTTGGATTTTGGTGTCTAAATTCCACCTAACATTTAAAAACGAAAATTCTGTAAGATGTTTTCTCTGCTCTTCTGCACTGATGATAGTATTGTAGTTATTAACAGTACTCCTGTTAATTGCAGCAAAAAACACTATCCAACCACCCAACTTCTTGTATCCCAATGGTGTGATGATCCTCGAAGCAGAGCTTGGTGAGTTTTGATTCCTTATCTGAAAGTGAAAGAAAATGTTTAAATGAGATATTAATAAAGATCTTGATAAAGCAAAACAGCTTTGCCTTCTAGGAGTATGAGAATTTTATACAAAATGTGGTTTTTTGCTTGGTATGTATCTTTGTGGATATTAAAGGAAGCATCATGTGTTATATAGATCCCAGGCTTTTTATGAGAAAGATATTCTGGTAACCTACATGCATGATTTTCCTGCTTTAATTTGTTCCAGGAAAGCCACTTGAATTGGAATGCCGCGTACAGTTTGGGTTTGAAAGAGCTTCTCTGATGAGGGTAACATGGAAAAGAAACAACAAAGAAAATATAAACGAGAAATTGAATCAGGAAACGCGGTAGGAAAATATCCCAGTAGTCTGATTAGTACTAAAGTCAGCAGCTATAAAAATCCTTCTACAACTTTACCTAATACATTTTACTGAAAGAAACTCAGAAGGCTCTGTTCTTCAATTTATTAATGTGTATGTCCATGAGCATGTGACAGGCACAGGCACTTCACTTACAAAAGCACATAATGATGATCATAAAGTGAAGAACTCAAACTTTTTGCACAATTTTAACTCTTCTTCCTAAAGCTTTAGCCCTTGGACAGCTTCAGTGTGAGTGGTGCTTGGTTGCCTTTGCCTGTATCAGCTCTTTTCAAGTGTTCCCTCTGTTGTACCTTGCCAGCAACTCACATGTTCTGTCTTTTGAAGCTGCCCCTGAAAGGGGAATCAACCATATCAGTAAAACAGTACTGTGGACATTGAAGAGTTCGGGTGCCTCAGATGGTGGGGTTAGGCAGTCTGAGGACTGAATTTCAGGACACCGAATTTCAGGATTCTCCCCTGACAAGAATTAACCAGACCCTGTAGAAAAGCCACATGCAGGGGAAAGATTTTCTGTGACCTGGGGACAACCCGTATAGTCACTTTTGCAGTGTCCAACTCGGGCAAGAAACAGTGAAGACAACACAGGCAAGTGTGTCTCTCACTACACAGTCCTGAGTCATCTTTATGAGGAAAATTTTCTGTACACCATGAGAAGCTAAAGCCCTGCTGCCATTGCTAAAATTCAATTATTAATAGGAGTCATATGGGAAAAAAGAAATTATGATATTACACACACACATGCACATGTTCATGCTCATGTGGTAGATTAGAAATTTGATTTTTCTAGTTTTTGAACGTTTAGCTTTGTAATGTTCTTGTTACCAGGTTTTTAGCTTTTTGCATACAATTTCTGATCATTTTTTAAAAACCCAAATGACTAGAACATTCCCAACAGACTTTTGGTACAGGTTGAATTCTTGCCCATGCTCATGCTTATATACCTTGAGTTAGCAGAAGTAGGGCCGTGGTAGACTGTCATTTTGCAGTGTCAAGATGTGAGATGCCTTCAGGACCACCAAAGAGATGCCTGTACTTGTGGCTTTCAAAGAGAAACACCGAGACATAGAAACTCTGGGTTCTAGAGTTTTTGAAGACACACATCTGTTCCATACAACCCTCACTCAGCTCCAAAGGGATTCCTTTGTTACCTCTTCATTTCCCATACTTTTGTCCCTTATACCTTATTCTGTTTGCCTCTCTTGTCCTTGAGCTTTTTACCACTGTGCAAGAGGCTGTGCTGCTCAGTCTTTTTGCCTATCTAGTTCTCTCTTGTGGCTCCTTTTGAAGTTTCATTTCCCTCCATTTCTACCCTGAGAATTTGTTTTACATCTTAGAAGACCACAAATACTCATACAGAAGTCAAAAGGGGCTATATATTTAAAACTAGGCAAGTGCTTAAGAATTTTGTTGAGTTGATGAATTAAGAATAAACCCTTCAGTCTGCATGCTATTGATGTTAGTAGTATTTTCTTACAATGTAAAAAACAAATGGAAGTTCCAAACCAGAATATCACATCATTGTTAAAAGTTCAAGATGAGTGTTAAGAAGTTGCAAACTCCTCTTTGAGTTTAGGACATTTGAAGATGGTGTACATGAGCAGCAAAGGTATCATACAAATAAATATTTTTCTCTCTTTAGTGTTTATCCAGAAGGTTTAAAGGGGCACACACTTCTTCATGTTGCAAAACTGAAAGAAGTTACTGAAAGTGACCTTGGAAGCAACTTCACGTGCTTTGCTGAGAATTCAGTGGGGAATGCCACAGCTATGATCCAGCTGAAAAGAAAGCAGAGAGGTAAAACTATCGATGGATGACTATTTGCCCTTGAAGACACATTGTGATTTGCTGCTACAAATTCATTCTGCATTGACACTTTAGCCAGCTGCAGAAATTTCTTGAAGCTGGATGGGAAAGTTTGATTCGCCAGATGTCTAGAAAGGCACTTTATTCTGACTACTTAGAAGGATGAGGCTATATGGGGACTTACTGCAGGCAAGTGGGCCAATTGCAAGCTGGAGAGTGACTGGAAGAAGAGGAGAGTAGCATTTCTCAACATTAATAGTCAGTCTACTAAACCAAATCAGAGCAGCTACTGAAAGCAATAGTATTCCTTGATTTTCATAGGACATTTCTGTTTATTTTCCCAGTCCTTAGCATGCATGTTTCTGAGAAGTTACCATAGCTGGTATGAATGTGGAAGCCTTTCAAGCAAAGACCGAAACTAGAATCAGTGTTGAAATTAAACAATTGAACCATAATTCACAATGGAGATTCATCTTTGGAGTGGCACAGGAAGTCTCCAGCAGGGCACTGTGTGTGCTCTGATGTGACAATTCCAACTCAAGTGATGACTACTTTCAGCCTTGCTGAGTGTGCCACAGACCATTTTCTATGTGCTTTCCATCACAGATTAGCTTTTAATACCATCAAAGAGAGTCTATTCAAAAAAGGTCCCTGATGGTAGACTGAAACTCTGTTAAAGTTTGCAGCTAAATATCTTCCTGACTTCTCTAAGGCCTGCCAGTGGCATAAGAAAGAAGATTGTGAGGCGGTTTGCCTCCATTTTTGGACTGAATTTTTCATCTAGAGTGTTAATATTATTTTGGAAAGCCTGAATTATGATAGACCCTTTTCTTTCTACAGTGTTTCTCTTATACGTCCTATGCAGTGCCATTTCTATTCTATTTGCATTACTTTTGTGCACTGCCTTTATTTACCAACACTGGATTGAAATAGTGCTTATGTACCGAAGTTATCTGGTCCACAATGAAACTATGGGAGGTAAGAAATGTTGCACAATATTAATTTTATTCATATTTTCTACTGCCTTTTTCCATGTGGGTTAATCTGGTGGGAATTAACTGTTTAATTAATTTCTCTTACTGATGCTGCTCTCTTTGAGTCAATACAAATGCTGCTAAAACTAGCAAGACATCCAGTGGGTTTAGATGGAAAAAAAGCCAGGCAGTGGGAAGGAAGTATCTAACACCAACTGAAATGTTACAAGATCTCTTATTTAACCAGGTTAGCATAGGTAGTTGAATTTTGGCAGTCCCTTTTCAGGGGATAGTAGATCATCTCCAACATTTGAACCTCATTCTCCAAAAGTGTTCAACAGGACCTGTGGATAAGAATCAAATATCCTTGCAGAACTAAGTGAAGAACTCCAGAGCCTATTGTGTTTTTCACTTGAAGACAATAATTTCTCAGAACAATAAACAAAGAAGAAAAATAAGATGATACAGGGCGCCGACTGAGAAGTGTACATTTGGGAAATATTTATATTTCCTTTCTAAAAATTATGTTTACCATCCTGACATTTACATTAGTGATCAGCTTCTGATATTTCAAATCTTCATAGTAGCATCACTCCATCATCTCGGCTAAAATGGGTCTCCAACATAGTAGGCAGTATGAAAATGCATCAGAAATGACTGTGACTACTTTAAAGAACTTAACATATAATTTTCTTACATGAGTTGAAAGAAATCTGGCAGTATGTAACTAAGGAAATTTTTCTAAAAATTCTTGAATCTTGATGCAGATTGAGACAGAGGTGTCTCGGTCTGCTTTTGTGTTTGCATGTGTGTATGTGCATTATACGTGAGTGTGAAATAACTGGATCTAGTTATCTATAAATACATACGTAATGAGAGACAATTAACTGCCCTTTTGGAAAGTATTTCTGTGAGCCCTAAGGCAGCTGGCAAAAGTGATTTGGGAAATCACTGAAAATTTCCCCTCTATTTGGTAACAAATTGATTTAAGAACCTCTGGAAAGTCCCCTTGGAGATCACCCCATATGTCAGTAGGACAAGGAAAGACCTGCCAAGATTTGTGCATTGAAGTTGAAGACACAGTTGTGTTCCATTGTGGTGGCTTCTGTCCTTCTCCCTGACTCTCATGTACCACACGCACACAGTACCATTCACGGTGTGGGTGCATGGAGTGTACAGGCCAATTGTGCCTACCCAGTTAGCTTTCTGCCTAAGGGGATTGGCCATAAAATGTGTTCTCACCTGTTGGATTATGTTCTACTTAAATACGTATATATGGAAACCAAACATTAAGAAAGAAGCCGAATGCTTCAGACAGATTTGCTAATGTATAGTGTTATTTATTTATTTTAGATGGCAAAGAATTTGATGCATTTGTGTCCTATGCAAAACTGGACTCTTCTGAAAGTGACTCAACTCTAATTAGTGAAGAAAAGTTTGCCCTGGAGCTTCTTCCAGATATGCTGGAAAATAAATATGGATACAAGTTATGCATTCTTGAAAGAGATATTCTTCCAGGAGGAGGTAAGGTCCCTGTGGATGATAAAAAATATTCAGTTCTTTATAAAAATGTTTTTCACTTTCCACAAAACATTATGCACCAGATCAGCAAATGGTATATTTTGGTACAGGAATTTCTGCTCAAATCTCATGCTGTTCTGATCTTTATGTCTGGCCTCTGCGCCTAAGGCATGCATATGTTTGAGTGTGATCTCTGGGAGCTACTAGGCTGAGATAAAGCTTCTTATCTAAGAATTTGTTTGCAAGCAGACTCCATTCACTGAAAAGAAGACCACAGATATTTCAGTAATTACTTCCTGAGCTACTTTAGTCAATGCTAGCTGCAGTAATTAGAAAGCCCTCAGTACCTGTCCCTAGGGTGACAAAGACAAGTCCAAGTGCCCTTTGAGACTTTTAAGTAGCAACAAAGTGGGTTTACATGTCAGCTCTGTCCTCTACCTCCTGAGCAGCAAATTTAATTCTCCAGGCTGTGTAAGAACAACAGCAGCACCCTCTGATAGCAAAGACATGTATAGGGGTTATGTGATTGCTTAGCATCCGTATTTTTGGTTTCCTTATTTCTGGGTTTTAGCTGTCTATAAAGGAATTGATAAGGTATAAAGTCCACTATAGAATGCAGTAATGATTGTTGCCATTTCTTCTCCAGCATACACAGATGAAGTTGTTACAGCTATTAAACAAAGTAGACGAGTAATAATCATTTTGAGCCCAGCCTACGTCAGTGGGCCAAGCATCTTTGAACTGCAGGCAGCAGTGAACTGTGCCTTGGAAGACAAAAAGATCAAACTGGTATTAATAAAGTTCCAGGCTTTCCAAGAGCCAGAGACTTTGCATCCAGTAGTGAAGAAAGCTCTTCGGATATTACCAGTCATTACCTGGGAGTCTTCTGTTTCTGCTGCTCCAAATAAGTTCTGGAAATATATGCATTACCACATGCCAGTGAAAACTACCAAGATGTTGGGAAATTGGAGCTTAAAGGACTTTTTCCTAAGGTTATTCAGCCTGGTATATCGATAGCAGAAATTTCACAGGGGGTGATGACAGCAGGCTCAGAAATGGTGACATGACTGTAAAGGGCCTTTTCTGCACTAGCTGACCACTGTGGATTATAACTACTGTCAGCAATAGCTCACTCCAAAACAATGAGAAGGACTGCAGTGTGACAGTGCTGCAGCTCCACAGTAAAACTAAGTGGCACTGCACACAACTGTAAATGTGAACTGTCTTTCATAAATTATTTCTGTATTATTTTTATTGTATTTATTATATTTTGCTGTGATGTTGAGACATACATGTGAATGCTTTGTTATTTGTACTGTATTTCTTCTGGAATATTTTTATACTCATTTTCTAGAAAAATATTAAAAAAGGGAACTCCAGAGAAAGCTTGAATTTTAATTTTCCTGTGCAGTCCAGTGGGACAAATCCAAAGTCTTTAAATGAGTCACCTCCTCCTGTGGGAGCACCAAGAAAGTGCTATGGGAGACTGTTACTACTGGGTACGCCAAATGAGCTGAGAAAAGAAGGAGCACTGTATCAAGTCTGATCCCAGGCATCTCCATCATTCCTGCAATGAGAGAAAAGCATTCCTACCAGCTGTGAAACCTTTCCTACTCTCAGACATCTGCATATTGCTGATCCTGTCTGGTGCTGGTCACTCACAAGTCCCATTGAATCTCTTGGTATTATTGGTATCTTGCAGTTGTAAATCAAAGTCCTGGTTGTCACAGCTGGTAGACTTCCAGGGACTTTGAAGTCTTTCTTTTGTAGTCCTCTGGCTGCTAACTCTCCAGGGTTCATATCACTTACTTTCAAGACATCTTGCTGTCTGTAGCTGTCAAATGCAGTGGTTAGTGTTAAGAAAATCTGAGCAGGAGAGCCACTGATTCGGTGTTCTGCTGACTTCATTTGGCCTTCAAGTTGAAAAATCACTGTTTTATAATGCTAATTGAATAGTTCATCTGCCAGATTTCTTGTTGGAAAGGGACTTCAAGAACTGCTGTTAACAGAACCAGTATACTGAAAAACCACCCTACCTCTTCTGCAAGCAGCTTTTAATCAACACTACTATGTTCGTAGACTTTGTTAACCTAACACTAAAAGGGGTAGTTTTTGTGGAGGAGAGAAGAGGCTGACCTTTTAAAGAAATATCCTGTATGGGTGAATGTTGCATTCAGGGAGGATAACGTAGTTGTCCAATAAATGCCTTGCTGGCATGAGTAAAACAAATGCCAAATACAAGACAACTCAAGATAGAGTTTTAGGCATGTGGTGTAATTCAGACCTTCTTCTTTCTTTTGTTATTATGTGCTAAATTACGTTCATGAATTTAAGGGAGAGAACACGTTTCTAAACAAGAAGGCAATTTGCGTGGTCCTCCACCAGATGTCCCTACTTTAAGCCCTGCAGAGCACATTTATTTACACGCCAAGCAGCTCTGTTCCCAGCTGAGAAAGGACCAGTGAGCAATGCCAAGTGTGGTGGTATCTGAGGTTCCAGTTGCACTGGGGAGACAGACAGGGAGTGAGGGCAGAAGAGGAAGGTATGGAGCAGGCTCTCCTGCGTGCACAGGGTGCCACCATTTCACCCACCTGATACTATTCACTTGAGCTGTACTTGCTACCTGAATTTTTTTTTTGACAGTGGGAAAAAGAAATCAGAGTGGCTGGATAAATAATATAGTTAGAAAGGGCTTTTATTCCTTAACAGGGTGATGCTGTTGCTGAGGTTTATCTAGGTTGAAGGAACCTGCAGAACCGGTATCTTTATACAAACTCTAGGTCCGTCTGTAATACAAGGAACAGGACAGGCACATTAGGGCTTTTAAAACGACATCTAAAAGGCAAATGAAGCAGCCCTGAGGAAGAAGCGGCCATGGATACGAGCAGCGCGAAGCAACAGGAGTGAGTGTTGCATACCTTCATGCACCCACTCTACCCTGTATCTGTAATAAAACAGTCAGAGGCAGACATGGGCTCTGCCACACTTGTACGTGCAATGCTTTTGAACTGGTTGCTCTTGCTGTTGAGTCTGGTATGCTGTTCTGCTGCGGCTTATGTGGATGAGCCCAGCCTGAGCAACAGTTTCTTGCCTCACTATGAACCTGATCAGGCTGTTGGCTCTTCACAAGATACGAGGCTACATGTTTTCACAGTGGACTATGGCTATGTGCAAATTCCCTATGAAGTTACTCTTTGGATCCTCCTTGCCTCTCTTGCAAAAATAGGTAAGTAGAAAATGGGATCTTGGGTCCTCCTACCTCAGCAAGAAGTTAAAAACATACCAGGTAACCAAGTATCTTCCATGCACTTTGTAGCTGGTTATCAGAATCTACAACATGCCACAGCTGTAGAAATCAGTAACACCAGCTGAGCCTTCAAGTGATTTGAATTTGGGTGAGAAAAGTGGGGAGAATTCTTCCATTGTGAAAATAATAGGAAATATTTCCCTTTGAGTCTTTGTTTTATGTGTTTGCTATTTATAGTTGCTCAGAAAGTAATACCAGAGGAGAGAGACTGAGAGTCTGAGTGTAGGTCATTAGAGATGTAGGGTAAGTGCCTTTTCAGTACATACCAATGCATCCAGCTTCTATTAGAACTCCCTGTAGGTATCTGAATGAAGCAAGACAACTCATGGGGAGGTAGGAACTGCAATGAACATAGCAAAAAATGGCTCACCATGTGTCATACATGTTTGCATGACTGGGTTCAAAGTATTTTGACCATTCAGAATTAATGCAGCAACATCAAATAAATGAAGAAGATAGTACTAAAGTGAAGAGCTGCACACATGCGATCTCCCTGTCCTTTTGATCTCTCCATGGGATTTTTCAGAAGTTACTATGGAACAGGCTGGGAGGTGGGACCCATGATTTTCTGGAGGTGGCCTGAAAATAAACATTTTTCTTGTCATAGTCCCACAGTTGACAAAAATTGTTACCACTGGCCATGATTTGCCAGCTTTATAATAGCTGATGATCTCAATCCAGTTCCTATAAATAAATTCTTCACTGATAAAATAATAATAAAGATTTTCACAAGTCAAGTCTGCTGTTATGGTGTCAGCAGAATGTGACAATAGCAGTGAGCATATTGATCAATTTCTTCATCATCCATAAAAGCACAGGACTTGCCATATTATAATTTTCTTGGTTTGAGCAAGAAACAGATGTTATAGAAGAACTGTGTGATGCCTTCCAAGCATCCTCCAAAGCAAACTTGTTCCTTAGCCAGGGGTTTTCAAGTAATATTATTTTCATTGAAAAATGTGGAGCTGCTGACTCAAAATCTATTTGGTAGGAAGAGTTAGTCTGAATAATCTGGTTACATAGGGAAGAAGATTTCCAAACCATTAAACTTTTCTGTGTTCTATTCAGGCATTATCTTCTTTCCAGATTTCAGGATTCCAGGGTGGGAAACATTTCTGAGACCTTGAAAGACAAAACAATCCCCTTATCCTGTAAAACTGACAGAAGAATTGAACGAGATTTTTTTTTAATTAGAAAAGTAGATGAGAGGAGCTATGATCTTAACATACTTTCCAGTATTTCAAATAATCTCCGAAATAAATTATTTAAAATGTGATACAAATATTTTTCTTTTTCTTCAGTGTTTAACATAGATAATTTGAGGATTACAGAAGTGCAGTCATGGTATTAACTTCTGGAGTTATGGAATGAAATTTGACCTAGCCTCAGGCATGGAGACACAGCCACTGGATTTAAAGGCTTATTAGTGTGCCTCATTCTCATTCTTGTAAATTCTGAATAATTCCTTAAATTTCTAATAAAAGAACCTCTCATTTACAGTATAATGACACAGTTCCTGGTAAAGTAACTAGATGAGCCATTGCTAGACATTGTCTTGGTATTGGTATCAGTATTTGTGTCAGATGGGAAGAATTATGCAAATGCAGTTGCACTGGTAGTACATCAAGGTGGGCAGGAGATTCATACCCACAACATTTATATTGGTAAGTATGACCCTTTTTCTGTAAAACAACTTGGCTACATCTATGCTTGTAAACTACCAAGCACCCTGTTGGGAAGCTGTGTGTGACTGTCCATACCACATCAGTGCTGGCGTGTTCCTTCTCAGCTATGACTCGTTGACAAACCTTCTCCCAGGCAGTGCTTAGGCAGACTTGTGGGCCAACATATGTTCCCACAAGCAGTTTGGATGTGACCACTATTTGCTGGAGTAGGGAAGAGAATTTGGCTGTATGGATGCAGCCTGAACCTTTCTGCTTTGAAAATTCTTTGGCCTGATTAATTTGCTATAGTGTAGACCCAACCTTTTTTCTAGTAAGGGAAAAAAAAAATCAAACCCTTAGGATGCATTATTTTCTCAGATACTTAATGGCTGTTGGTAGCTCTTTCAGCTCAGCTGAAATCATCGGTTTTCTTTCAGTAAACTAACTCATAGGGTTCTTTACACTATGTAGGAACAGCAGTTTTCCTAGAAATACAAGGTTAGTAATCTTGTACAATGCCTTATGTTACTGTGGCTTGATTACTGCTGCTTTGGATATGCTATTGTTCATGAGTACTTAGCCCCTCTGTGGATAACCTTGAGTCCATTTCACACTTCAGGGGAGTGCTGGAAGTGGAGGGAGCTCAGCAGATGATGGCATCTGGGCTGCTCCCTTGGACTTCTCCAGATTCCTGGTCAGCCCAAATCCAGCAGGAGCTCCGCAGCCAGTGAGCCTCCACAGCACTGGGGGGGGGGGGAAGCTGCCTTGGAACCTGCAGCCAGGGAGAGGGTGTCTTTGAGATGGAGGGACAATACTGTGCCTCAGAGGTTTGGCAGTAGCAGTTTGGCAACAAGGACTCTTGAAGAATGCTTTCTTTCCAATTTGTGGAGCACAATTTCAAAGAAATTTCTGCATTCTTAGAAGTAGAGCTTAGACTCAGTCACACTTGTTCAGAGATTGAGAGCTGGGGATCAGGTAGACAAGAAATTTTTTGCCAAACTCTTCCTCTGCTTTAGAAGTACAAGTCTGGGAATGTTTCATTTTGAAGGGAATGGTACTGCCTGTTTTTACATTCATAATCTAAAGAACAATACCTGGCTGTCTGACGACAAAGTATTTGAAGGCAGGCAAAACATCTGTCTGACATCAAGTTAATTTAAATTGGAATAATACCCTAATGTTTTATTCAAGGTTTCCACCTCTATCACCGATTACCCAGACTCATGCCTGAAAGCTGCATCCTGATTGTCATTGGAGCACTAGTAGGAGCAATCATTTTTGCTTCAGATTACAAATCTCCACCGGTGATGGACTCAAGTATTTACTTTTTGTATCTCCTTCCACCCATTATCTTAGAGGAGGGTTATTTCATGCCAACTCGCCCATTTTTTGAAAACTTTGGGTCCATCCTGTGGTGGTCTTTGCTGGGATCTCTGCTAAACTCATTTGGAATTGGCTTCTCCCTCTATGGGATCTGCCAAATAGAAGCCTTCGGCCTGACTGACCTGGACCTGCTGCAGAACCTGCTCTTTGGCAGCATGATTTCAGCTGTGGATCCCGCGGCAGCTCTGGTAGTTTTCGAAGAAGCCTCCGTTAATGAGCAGCTCTACATGATGATCTTTGGAGAGTCATTGCTAAATGATGGCATCACTGTGGTGAGTTTCTTTCTGCTCCTTGTCTTCCCTTCTTTAGGCTCTTGTGGCTTGTAGGGTTATTTGGCAAAGGACAAGAGCAGTTCTAAGGAGATCCTAGATACATTATTTATGTTGTGGATACTCTATTCCATCACACACAAGTAATTTTAATGTATGTAAAGATTACATCGTATATTAACTCTTTAAAAATTATATTGTGTTAGATCCGATAGGAGAGGGAAGCATAGACCACATCTGGCTTGTGCATTCACTTAAGTGAATAGATAAGCTAAGGCTGATTTCACTGGTAGGATCAGTGTAAGACCTAGAAAAAATTCTTGTTATTGTGCAAGCAGGTAAATAGAAAATTCTACTGCTTAAAGACATTTTACTGCTTAACCTTCTGCAGCAGGGATAAAAACACAGGACACCTTCCTTGTCACACGCCGTAGAGAGCACTCTGCAAAAAACCCCAACCAAACCAGATGTGAACAACCTCCTGCTTCTCCTAGGAAATTCCCCAGAGACCTTAGACAGGGATTCCAAAAGCCACTGTCGTGGTTTAAACCCAGTCAGGTAGCTTGTTCACTCACTCCCAGTGAGTGGTGCCGAGCTGACAACAATCGAGGTCCGTGTCCGTCTCCCCCCCTGCCTCCCCGCACCGGGGCTCTCCCCTTCCCCGCTCCCGGAGGAACGGGGAGGAGGATCGAGAGAGTGCAACTCCTACGGGTTGAGACAAAAACAGTCCAGCAACAAATCACCACTGCTACTATCAGCTACAACAATGATAAGGGAAAATAACAAGGGAAGAGAATACGATACCACCGGCCAAGAGAAACGAGCTCCACCCGGAAAACCCCTGTCCTTCCGGGTCACTCCCAGTTACCCCTCACCCCGGGCATGACGTGCTGTCATATGGAATACCTCTTTGGTCAGTTTGGGTCAGGTGTCCTGTCTCTGCTTCCTCCTGGCTCCCCCTCCTCCCTGGCAGAGCATGAGGCTCACAAAGTCCTTGGCCAAACCAAAACATCGCTTGTTATCAGCTCTGTTCCCGAGCTGAAAGTCAAAACACTGCACTGCACCAGCTACCAAGAAGGGAAAAAATGACTGCTACTGCTGAACCCAGGACATTATCCACCCCTTATTCCATACCATTCACGTCATGCTCAGATCCCACATTTTCAATATACCATCACTCTTATCTCAGTGCACTCTTATCTTAGTGCATGGACCAGTCCCTATAAAGCTGCTGAGTCCATCTGGTCCATGATGTCAGGCTCCATCTCTTGTAACAGTCTTCCAGAGCAGGAGAGACTGTGTGCAGTGTTCACACTCGTGAATAACCTGGGCAATAGTGTCCATTGCTAAGTCCACCCCTCGATCATGAGTCCATCTCTGTGTTGCATCTCTGCTCTGATGGCCTGAAGTGCCATGGGCCCACCAGGCTCAAAATAATTCACTGTCCCCTTCAGCAGTTTCTGCAGCTTGTTGCTGGGGACTCCATACAGCTGCCTTCCATCTCCAATGCTTCCAAAGCACTGGAGGGGCCCAGTGGACTAGATACTTGCCCATACTGTCCCACACACCCTGCCACTCCTGGCTGTCCAGCCTTGGGGAAAACCTTTTGGTCCCCTTATATCCTCGTCTAACCCCAGACAAGACCCAAACCTGACTCTGCTTAACTTTTGAGATCAGACAAAATGGTTGTGGGTAGAACACAGTCTGTGTGTGTGCCAACATGCTGATCCCCATCACAATCAGCAGGCAGGTACCAAGGACACCCAAAGGCCATTCAAAACCTTCAGAACTCTCAACTGATGCTGCTGTACTTGTCACTGGGGCTGGTGCAGCTGCTGTGCTTGCCGGCTCTCCCACCACCAGCTTCTCTTTTCCTGAGTCCAGATCTTCCTCCTCTGCCTTGTTGGGAAATGCTGCGTGGTCTCCTGCATCCTCCTGGGGCTCGGCGGGCGGCTTCCGGGGAATGCTCTCGGCCGTCGCGGGGCTGGGCTCGGCCGCGGGGCTCGGCTCCTCCGCGGGGCTCGGCTCCTCCGCGGGGCTCGGCTCCTCCGCCGCCTTCTCCCGCTGCTCGGCAGCCGCTTCCTTCTGCTCCTCGACCGCCCCGACCTCCTCCACCGGCAGCCGTCCCCGCGCGGCCTCCGGCCCCGCTCCCGCCGCCGCTTGGTCCCCGGGGTCGCTCTCCCGGGCCGGTTCGGCTGCCGCCGGCTCCCGGGGCCGCTCCCCCTCGGCTCCCCGCAGCCTCACGAAGATGGAGAGTAGGGTGAGGGCCAGGACGGTGAAGAGCAGCCGGACGGCCAGGTACAAGTCCACGGCCACGTCCGTCCCGCCCTGCTGCTGGAGCCCGCCCGTATTACAAGCCATTGCCATAAAGCACAGTGAGACAAGAACCTTAGCCCAAGCCCCACACTTGATAAACACTAACACAGCAAATACCGGCTCTACGTAAGTTACAACATTCTGAGGCTGTGAGATCAAGAGAAACAACTCTGAGAGCCAATAAATCGTCATTGTGATGAGTGGCTATTAATCTGGTCAGATCTGTCGTTATCTCAACCCTTCGTGCCCCACGTTGGGCGCCAAAAAGAACTGTTGTGGTTTAAACTCAGTCAGGTAATTCGTTCGCTCACTTCCCCCCCCTTTCTTGCCCTCCCCCTGCTCCCGGAGGGACGGAGAGGAGAATCGAAAAGAATGCAACTCCCACGGGTTGAGATAAGAACAGTTTAGTAACTAAGGTATAACACAAATCACTACTGCTACCACCAGTGATAATAATGATAAAGGAAATAACAAGGGAAGAGAATACATCATCTCACCACCAGCCGACCGATAACTCGCCCCCCAGCCCGACCAAGCTCTGACCGATACCTCCTCCAACCCTGCAGACTCCCAGCCCTTCCGGCTAACTCCCAGTCACATCCTGGGCATGACGTGCTGTGGTATGGAATACCTCTTTGGTCAGTTTGGGTCAGGTGTCCTGTCTCTGCTTCCTCCTGGCTCCCCCTCCTCCCTGGCAGAGCATGAGGCTCACAAAGTCCTTGGCCAAACCAAAACATCGCTTGTTATCAGCTCTGTTCCCGAGCTGAAAGTCAAAACACTGCACTGCACCAGCTACCAAGAAGGGAAAAAATGACTGCTACTAACTTTGCATAACCATGTTTCTATCAGTAAAAAATTAATATCTGAAAAATATTCACCTTTCTCAGATGTCTTATCTTAAGTGTCCAGAAACAGTGCTTCAGGAATAGGAGAGATTTTGTTTGTTGAGGTTTTGGTTGGTTGGTTGGTTGGTTCAGGTGTGTTTTGGGTTTTTTAATATGAAAAAATGTTTTTTACAGAACTCGTCTTGCTAATACTTTTCTAAAAGTTTGTTAAACTTGGAGCAACCTGAAATTCTACCTGCAAACCGCAACTGACAAAGTCACTTAGAAGATATGTGGTTTTCACGGAAGAGATTTCAAGCAGGAAATTCAAGCACAGAAACTAACAGGACTGCTCATGTGCTGCAAGTTAACTGCAGGTTAAGGAGTTTTGCTAGATAAGATCTTTACAGAATTTTAATCACAGGAATCTAGAACTCATAAAAACTATTCTGATGCTGTTAGACATGAGGTACAGCACAACTTGGACTTTAAAATCTGTGCAGAGTTCACTGCTGAAAGGTTTCGGGGGAGAAGTGCAGCTTATGAGCAATGCAAAAAGGAAAAGGAATTAAGTAATTTCTTGCAAACCCTTCCTCTTGGTGAATCAGATGTAGGGCTGATGTTAGGAATAAATGTTAATTAACTTTACATGCAAACTGCTTGTGTATTACAGTTGTAACAAAATAATCCAAATGCATCTATCACTTTCACCTGCCTTCTTGGTTCCTTCACATGCAGACCTCAAAAAGTAATACCTCTTCCTCACACTGGGAAAGCTTGTTTCATCCTTTTTTTGACTGGCTCTTTACATTGCCTTCCCTTTGTTCCCAGCTGTTATTTATGATGTGGATCCAACTCATGGTATTTACATGAGCTTTCAGTCAGCATCCTGCTACAGCATAAATGTGTAGTGACAGCCTTTAAGAGCACTGGTTTGTAGGCATTCCCCAGCAACACTAGGTAAGTCAGCAAAAGAGATGAAAGGGCTGTACACAAGGAGTGCTGGCTACACCACTGTGACTTCCATTTGCCCCACATCCTCTCATCTTTGGGGCTCTTCTCAAAGCAGCTGTGTTGCAATCAGTTTGTCAGCTCTTGCTGATGCATCTGTGCATTACCCACATCTCATCCATTTTCAGGACATTCAGATCTTCAGAATCTCTACCTAGTTTCATGTTAGAGGAGACTGAAATAACTGTCACCTGTATGGAGCCCAATAGGTGTATTTCTCCTCTCTGATACCCCTCTTGCTATTTTTAAAGGCTTTAAAACTGTGAATCTTAGGTGTCTCAGTTCCTCCCTTTTTTCTCTTAATAGTTTCCTTCAAGTTAACTCTATGTGTTTAAAAAGATAATATCACCAAGATATATTAAGCATACATACATTTTATATTGTTTAAATGCAAATAGCCCCTGGTTCTCTCCAGTCTGCTTATCAGCTTGAACATACTTTTTTCCCCCAGCAGGAAAAACTGGTATGAAATTTCTGAACTTGTGTATTATTTGAGCATCAACAGCTCCTTCTCCCATATTTAGTTCAATATCCTGATACAAATTTTTTTCCAAAATTACAGGCTGCGGAATGTGAATCATGACTTAGGAGTTATGCATTTGACTTAAGGGACAGAGACAAAAGTGCTTAATTTACCTTTTTTTACCCATTTGTACCTTCTCCTATTCTCCTCAGTAGGGCCATGTCTATGGGTGGAACAAAAGGCTGTAGGTCCTGCTAATTTCTTCCTGTTCCAGTTGCTTCTGAGCCGACTGTTCACATCAGAAAAGTGCGGAGAGCAACAGGACTGCTCCTAGTATGTATCATACACTAGTGGATTTTCAAAGCCCTGTTCAAAACAGCAGTGATGTTAAATTCAGTGCAGGTTTCATTCAAACCTGAACACAGCTGGAGGACGTGATTTTGCTGGGAAGTGTTTCAGGCATCGGAAACTCTGCTCCCACACATACACAGACCATTTCTGTCTCAACAGGAGCTGAACACCTGCGTGCATGAGGAAACAGAATATTTCCCCTTACTACTTCATCTCTGAGGCCTGATTTTAGAAATGCTGAGAACACCTATGCCTCATGCTGTAGTCAAAATGAAGTGGCAGTGACCATTTTTTTCTAATGGTGCCCTCTCTTCTTTGTATGCAGTAGCAGACCATTTAAAGAAATCTAGTGCATGATGGAGATGCAAGTAAAATTAACTTCTTTATTTGAGGGGATTTGAATTTACTCTTGGATGTTTCTGAGGAAGGCTTTGACCACTGGGATGTATGGGATGCTAGGAAGGAGGATGAAGATATTCTCCGCTCTGGTTGTTGAAGCTGACCCACTGTGTTCAGAGTAAGATTAAATACATGTGGTCAGGATGGAAAGAAAGAGTTATCAAGGCTGCTTGTGTCAGTGGTTAAGATGGCCGCTTTAAAATCTTTTTTCCAGAGCTTCTGATGTGGATGGCATGTGCAATGTATGTATCATATAGACTGCCGGAGCAGGGACCTGTCCCTGGGGAGGTCCCCTGTGGGCAACAGTGTCATGCTCTCTCTTCCTCTCCCTAGCTCAAACAGCCACCCAGTGGTATGCCGCTACATGGTAATGTCCCCTCCAAAAAACCCAGAGCATGACATTCTCACAGTTGTTAAATGAGGCCAGCTATCAATACATCCATCCCTTCACTGGGTGAACAAAGGCATCCTAAGCTGATTCAGGCTTTCCGACCATGTAAATATTATAATACTCAATTTACTGGCATAAACACCACAGTGTCTAATCTGCTCTAGTGAGAACCCACCTGGGATACTGCATCCAGCTCTGGAGTCCTCAGTACAGGAAAGACATGGACCTTTTAGAGAGGGTTCAGAGGAGGGCCACAAAAATGATCAGAGGGATGGAGCAGCTCTCCTATGTAGACAGTCTCATTTTTCTTCTCAGCCGGGAGAAGAGAATGCTCTGGGTAAACCTAATTGCAGCCTTTCAGTACTTAACAGGGCCTATAAAGAAAGATGGTGAGAGACCTTTTAGCAGGGCCTGCTGTGACAGGACAACGGATGATGGTTTCAAACTAAAAGAGGAGAGATTCAGGCTGGATGTGAAGAACAAATTTTGTACGTTGAGGGTGGTAAAACACTGGCACAGGTTGCCCAGAGAGGTGGTGATGCCCCATCCCTGGAGACATTCAAGTCCAGGTTGCATGTGGTTCTGGGTAACCTGATCTAGCTGAAGATGCCCCTGCTCATTGCAGGGTGGGTTGGACTAGCTGACCTATGAAGGTCCCTTCCAACCCAAACCATCCCATGATTCTATGATTCTAAATGGAGCTTTATTTGTATGATGCAGTTCAGGATGTTGTATAGAAGAGTTTAGTCCAAAAAAAAAAAGTTATAAAAAATGAAAATTATGTCATATTTTCATAATTTCCATTTTAATCAACCAATTATATCATATAGATACTTTAGGAACCAGAAAAAGGGAGAAAAAATTACTAAGTAAGATTTTTCATCACAAATATCTGCAGAAAAGAAATTACTGACACTGACAAACTTATCTGATCTAAATTAAATAACCTTAACAGACCAAATTATACAATGTATGAAATTAATTCTTTTGTTTAATCTGACATTCTTTTTATTTTTGTCATTTCAAGCTTTCTAGTCAAAATATATGTGTGAAGGGTCTTTAGGCCATTTAAAGTGCCACAGCTTTCGATCCCCACTTTGCAAACAAGACAGAGTTCCTGTATTGTGAGAATAGAGAGGCTGTATTTATCTAGCTAGAGTCAATATAAAACTGAGGCTTCCATATTTCCCTTGCTTTGCCTTGCCTTCCCTCTACTGCTTCTTCTCCCATTCTCAGTGATTCACAATTTTTATGTGTCAAATACTACTGAAAAACATTTAACATTCCCTAGTCTATCTAATGAAGTGTGTCCGCTCTACAGATCATATAGACAATCTAAATGGGATTTAAATCAAAAGTGTGATTCTTAGTCACTGCCCTGCCCCATCCTGAATCAGAAAGAGAGCATGGAGGGTAGAGCCTGAGGTTGATAGGTACCCATCTGGCCTTTAGACATCTGCTACAAAGACCAGTTATTAAGTTTACTTTCAGAAAACAAACAAAACAAAGAGTATTTTTTTTTGTTACTTGAATTGCGTTTGATCCCCTAGAGTTTTACTCGTGTTACATAACCATCTACCCTTTCTGGTTTTGCTATTTTTTGAAGTGCTTAGCAGACCCTCATTTCTGGGACTTGTTAAGAAGAGCTGAGGTTTCAACTGTTACTTTGCTGATCCATTTAAAGCAATTTCGGGTACACACACACACAGAGCTATGAGGTGAGTAAGCCTGCCAGGTTCATCAAGACACCTGACTGTTGTCTCCTTATTTTCACTTGTAGGTTTTATATAACATCTTCATCGCCTTCACCCAGATGCACAGGTATGAAGAAATCGAATCCATCGACGTCTTTGCTGGCTTTGCTCGCTTCTTCGTGGTGGGGCTAGGTGGCATGCTGTTTGGCATTGCCTTTGGATTTGTTTCGGCGTTCATGACTCGATTCACCCACAACGTTTCTGCTATTGAACCCCTGCTGGTCTTCATGTTCAGCTACCTGGCATACTTGTCCGCTGAAACCCTTTACATCTCAGGCATTTTGGCGTGAGTATCTCTGATGGCTTTTCAGATGACCTCTGGAGGGAAGTATTATTACTTCGAGGAGGTGATTTGCATGAGGTTGGTACAATACAGGCATTTTCAGTCTCTGTCCCAGAGATCTGCAGTGGAAGGCTTCTAAAAGATCTGTAAAATGCAATGCTAACTAGGAAATGCAAACCTACAGTCAGCATAAGTATAGATGTACTATTGAGGAGTGAATATCTGCTCTGAAACTTTTTAGATTTTTGCCTATTGAAAAAAACCCTGCAAACTGTGGGCGAAGTGACTAGTGCTGCCACCGTCTGTCTGCTGCCTCTGATAAGATCAGCAGAATGAGAGACTCATTTGACAATAGGTCAGAGTATCTGCATTTATTTCTAAGCAGCATCACCATCAGATTACAAGACAGATGAAAAGTAATGAGTATGCAAACATAATAAAGAATGTCTAAGGTTTTGCTTTTGTACACAGCTGTGAACATCAGCCCTAACAGACTTTACTGGAATTACTTTACATTTGAACAGCAGCATTGGAACTGACAATGGACAAAACCAGACAGCCAAGGACATCAAGTATATATGCATACATATAGTCATGCATATGGATATTGGTGATCATATTTTAATGTGATCAGGATAGCTTGATGCTGCTGTAATGCTAGTGACTGCTTCCTGCAGTTAGAAAGCTGAAAGCTCTATTGACCATAGTAAATGAAGAGAGGATGAGTACTGTCCGAAGGAAAGAGGGCAGCATCAGGAAAGGAGTCAGAAGAGAAAGGAAGGAATAGGGGTGAAAGTGAGAGACTTTACAAGAAAGCTGCTGGGAGGTGAATTTCAAACATAATACTGATTTTCAAACAAATAATGAATAATGAATTTCAAACAAAGAGCTCCTCAGCCAGGTAAAGAAATGGGAACCTGATGATAGTAAATTCTCCAGCTGATGTTGGTGGCTGCTGCAGTCTCAGTGCCTAGCTGTTGGGTGGAATCAGCCTTGAATGCCCTGTGTTGGCTCTGAGCTTGCATGCTAGGTCTTGCAGGCACTGGTGATCCAGAAAGGAGTCCTTTTTATTGAGGACAAACCAATTTAAACCTAACAAATACAAGTATGTGGCCGCTGATGTTCAGACAGCTGCATTTACTCACCTTCACTTGTCAAAGCCTGATTTCATGGAATCATAGAATCATAAAATATTTCAGATTGGAAGGGACCTTTGAAGGTCATCTAGTCTAGGGGCAATGACCAGGGGCATCTTCAACTAGATCAGGTTGATCAGAGCTCCATCCAGACTGATGTTGAATGTTTCCACAGATGGGACATCTACAGCCTCTCTGGGCAACCTGCTCCAGTGTTTCACCACCTTCATTGTAAAAGATTTCTTCCTTATATCTAGTCTAAATCTACTCTATATCTACTCTAAATCTACTCTAAATCTTTTAGTTTAAAACCATTACCCCTTGCCTATTGCTACAGGGCCTATTAAAATGTTTGTCCCCATCTTTAAGTACCCTTCAAGTGTTGAAAGGCTGCAATAAGGTCTCCTCAGAGACTTCTCCAGAATGAACAATCCCAATTTGTTCAGCTTCAGAGTAGAACTGGCTTTGTAAAAACAGCTTTGTAGGATGGTCCTGGGAAGCAATATTTGAATATTTAGTCATATTAAATAAGTAGTTAGACAGGATATATGTTTTCCTGAGCAATTAGATAAAGAAGATGACTCTTGTACTGTGTTTTGTATATCCAACACATTTGCTGTGATTGAGATAACTAACAGCTTTAATTGAGCAGGTTTAGACCTAGCATGTAGTGAACACTCATACCATATGGACCCTTTCCTACCTGCACTGCCCAAAGTACTGCTTCCCTGCCTATTCGTTACACTAGACTACATGGGTCTTTATTTCTTTTGCTTCATATTTTCATTAGAGTGCTGAAATTATTACTAATAAAAGAATGTTAATATAGTTTATTATTCTTACTGCTTCATTAAGGAAATTATTGCTTGTTTTAGGGATGGGAACTTATTGTCACCCTTCTGAATTATTGAGGAAATCATTAATCTTTCACTTGGGTCATGAAAGTCTATTATGCATGTGCCTCTGAAAGTCAACAGTATTAAACATTTATTCCTAATGGCCTTGTCTTAGAGTGTCCTTGGACCTGCTAAATGTCTCAGCTTCACAAAAATACCCTTGAGATTTCTTCATTGGAAATTAAATGAGAAGAAGCTAGACGAAGGGTTATTTAATGAACAGTCAGCATTCTCTGAATTCACAAGTTTGGAAAAATATAATCAGAAGAAGCCCCCAAAGACTAAAATACTATCAGTAGAAACTAGATAGATGATGGACTATGTTACTAGCATAGCACTCAATCTATTTATTACCTATGACTATGGAAAATAAAGGGGGAAAGAGGAAACCTCCTTTAGTAGGGCTGCCCAAGTACTACTGCTCCAGGTGATTAATACTAGCAATTGTGTCAGGCTGCTGCTCATGCCTCTGAAGCAGACTCTAGTCTTCATTAACTGAAGAGGTGAAAAATGTCCTTATGCTTCCTTAGCATGTTCCCCACACTGAATAAATAAGAGCGGGGAAGGACACATCTATAGGGTAACTGGATTTCCCCTTGTTCTACACAGTGGGCTGCTGTGGGTTGAGTCACTGAAGCTTATCCTAGCCCTGTTGATCTTGCCAGCTATCTGGCAGGGAGCTGCTGGGAGCATAGGACTATTACCCTATCTTACCACCACCAACCACCTCAAAGAACAAGATCACTGAGAGGCTGGTTATATCCCTCTAAACATAGGCTAGTACAAAATTGACTTGCCCTTTGTTTGAGACTCAAATATTTGGTGCTTGGTGGCTTGTGCATTAAGCATTCAGGATATAATGGACTTTGAACTGAAATGTGATACTCTCGCTTCCTTGTCTGGAAGGCTGACTGGTTTGCTTCCTTTTTCCTGTATGCAAAATGGATTTGTGAAGTTGAATGAAAATGCTCTTCTATCTAATGAAATAGCTAACGTTACTGAAGAAATAAAAAGCTTCTTGATATTAGGAAGGTCAGGAACCGGTAATGGAGAGTGCAGATAATGAAAGCTGAGGTTGCTCTTAAATGAAAGAAAAGCCAGGTTGTGGCTGATCTTGATGTTTTCCCTGGTACAGGATGACATCATGTGCAGTGACAATGAAAAAATATGTGGAGGAGAACGTTTCCCAGAATTCCTATACTACAATAAAATATTTCATGAAGATGCTGAGCAGCATCAGTGAGACCCTGATTTTTGTATTCATGGGAGTGTCTACAGTGGGGAAAAACCATGAGTGGAACTGGGCCTTCATTTGCTTCACCCTGCTCTTCTGCCTCATTTGGCGGACACTGAGTAAGTCAGCTTTTGCAGGCAACCTTCTGTGCACCTCTGAGAGAAACCCTTTGGTGCAAAGGTATGTTAGGAAAGTCTGTGCAGACTGGCATAACCAGTTTAATAACAAATTTGCTAGGCTTATTTTATTGAGAAGTTAATTTTGCAAATCTACACATGAAAAATAGGGGAATGGGGGGAAACCCAAACAAATAGGGGTCTGTTTTGAACCTGAAGGCTTTATTCTGCATCATGTTAAGTTACAGTAGCTGGAATAGAAAACAAACACATGTACTCTTGGAGAAGTGATGAATTAGAACATCCCTTACTCAGCCACTGTTATTTGTCACTTTAATTAAAAACAGGAGAGAACAATGCTTTCGAAATGAAAGGCGTAAAGACGTTTTGGAAGTAGTACACATGAGAAGGCCAAAAATACGATTGTGCAGGCAACCTTATTTCTGACATTTTTTAAACTTCTGAGTACCTCAACTGGCCATCTTAGTAGTTCTGGGTGGTTTTTTTTTTGTTGTTGTTTTTTTGTTTTGGTTTGGTTTTCTGTTTGTTTTGTTTGTTTTTTTTTTTTGGTTTGTTTTTGGGTTGGTTTTTTTTTTTTGGTTAGTTGGTTGGTTTTCTGTTTTGTCTTGGGTTGCGCTTTCTTTTTTTTTTCCCAGTATTTTTTTTCAGAGCAATTTATATTTTTAAAGAAAATGAGAAATACAAATATTCCATCAGGTGGCCTTGGAGGATATAGTCTGAGCACTGACATTTAGGCATCTACCTTGGGTAACTAAGCTAGTAGGTTAGTTCCCCTGTGTTTCATTTATAATCAAAGGATGCCCCTCTGAGGCATCTTGTGGGGCAGAAATCTACATTGGTCGTCTGCCACCACCTCCTACAGCCTTCAGACCTTGTCTGTATTTCCTTTACATATAGGCTTTAGCTCTGGGCATTGGTCCTGCAACATCTGCTACAGTACTGAGGAGGAATAAGACCTGAAGGTGACTTGTCAGGGCCAGCTGTATGCTGAAGGGAAGGCAAAAAAGGTTGAAAGGAAAAGGCAAGTGATATTTGCTGGAAAGTGGCTGATGAATTAGCTGAAAGATGTGCTTTGTCTTTCATACCATGCACAAAGAAGGAAGAAATAGCTGAAGACTGAGGGCAGCCTTAGCTGCAGTGACTATGAGGCTGTGGATGCTAAGACCCTGAGAGGAGTGATCAAGCCAACAACAGAATTACAACCCTGGGCTTCAAAAAGCAGATTTTGGCCAGTGGTTGATAATGTGGTTGATAATATGAGCTCAAAATACTGGTCTAGCTGGTCACTAATGGCATCCCTCAGAGCTCACTACAGAGACCAATATTGTTTTGAGGTCTTCATTAATGACTTGGATAACAGAATGGAGTGCACACTGAGAAAGTTGGTGGCTGGAACCAAACTGCAAAGAGCAGTCAATATGCTGGATGGTTTCCATTCAAAGGGACCTGGGCAGGCTGGAGAAATAGGCTGACAGAAGCTCATTACATTCAAGAGCACGTACAAAGACTTAACGTGTGGCTTGCAATAACTTCATGCACCAGTATAGGCTTGGAGTCTAGTAAGCAGCTCTACAGAAAAGGACCTGGCCTGGTAGATAACAGGTTGAATGCAAGTCAGAATTATGTTCTAGTCACAAAGAAGACAAACAGCTTTCTGGGCTACATTAGCAAGTGTGTAGCCAGCAGGTCCAGGGAAGTGTTTCTTCCCATCTCTTCAGCACTGGTGGAACTGTGTGTTTCCAGAGCAGTCTCTTCAGTTCTGGATTCCCCAGTGTAGGAAGGACACAGAAGTTCTGGATCAAGTTCAGTAGAGGTCACCAACCTAGTCAGAGGCTGGAGCACTGGATATACAGATTGAGTCTGAGAGTGCTGAATCTATGCAGCCTGAGGGATATATAGCACAGGAGAGACATTATGTTCTACAAGTGCCCAGTCAGAGGAGAGAGAAGATGGAGACAGACACTTCTCAGAGGTGTACAGCAACAGGACAAGAAGGAACAGACACAATCTGGACCATGTAAATTCAGAATAGACAGTAGGAACCCATTTCTTAACATGAGGCTGATCCAGTATTGCATCAGTGCTCCAGCTCTCTGTTTTTGAAAGCATTCAAGACTTGACTGAAACTTTGAACAACCTGATCTGATTAGCTCTGCCTTGATAAGGATTTTGACTAGATGACCTTCAAAGGTCATTTCCAGCCTACAGTACTCTAACATTTGGGACCAGCTAAGTATTGGCATCAAACACCTAAAGTTAAGGTGCTCTTGCTTGAATCTCTCAGGTGGCTTATCCCTTCAGACAAAATGAATACCAGAGCAGAAAAAAGACACAGATTCAAAACCCATGCACATTTCAATACCATTGACTTTTAAGCCTGGGAGCCCTGTAGGAAGGCATTTAACGCAAGGGAGAAGAAAGAGGAAACCTGTGAGGGTTCAAGTACATGCATCTGATCAGCTGTATTATATAGGGATAACACAAGTACTCAGTGATAAAGGCAATATAACTCCTGTGGGCTGACAGCAAAAGAAAGTAACTAAGAATTTTCTTGCTAATCCTGGACCAAGCGTGGCCTCTAAGTTTTTAAAGGCTTACTTTCAGAGTCCATATTGGAACATCCATCCAATCAAGACAGAAAAAATGCTCTCCTGATACAAAAGGTATTTTGCTGCTGTATGTCCATTCTTCTCTCAAACAGCAAGGGGAGTGCTAGAGCTTTCCAGAGGATGGCTGAAATATTTTCTGCTAAATTTGTTTGCTAAAATGATTACATCAATTTGCCTGAAGCTTGAGTAAAGTAAAGAGAATTGGCCTGAGGGTGATACTTTACATACGTAGTTTCAGTTTGAGTAGCTGATCTTTAACATAGCTATAAGTAGCCAAAAAAGGTCTTACATAGAGCGGTATCCAGCAACCTGCATAACAGGATACTGCTACTGGCCTTACATATAATAGAGCACTGAGTTTATCAGTGACAGCTGTGTAAATTATTAGCATTTGTCAGCTTTTACTTCAGTAATTTAACAGTTTCCACACAAAACAGGATACATGTTTCTTATGGGAGATGAAGATTAAATCAAGCAGATTGCTGAATATATTCTATAAAGAAAAGAAGCAGTCCTTACACAGCCACAGGCTCTCTGATTAATTTAACTTTCATTACAAAAGAAATTAAATTTGAGAAATAAACACGGAATTAGAGACACAATAAGCTAGAGGATTAAAAATTAAAATGTTATTACTCTTTGCCTTTCAGTGAAACTGTCCACAGGACTTGTTGGTAAAGCACTACTCAAACACTTTGGGCAGACACTGTGCAGAAAGCAGGAAACACTGAAAGGGAAGGCACAGAAAAAGCTCTCATCCAGTGGATTGTCTTATCTCAAGAACACTTCAGAAAAGAAGTGTGCATCATAAATACAGAAAGTAAATATTTTCCCCATATCTCACTTTAAACTGCATAAGTGAATTTAAATCCCAAAGCAGGTAGTAACCATGGTCTTTTCTAGGAGTTTTTTAACATGAACCAGACAGTTGGTCAAAGAGAAGACACAAGAACCCAAAACTGAAAAGACTGCCAACAGCTGAGTGAGCCAAGATGTTGTTTTGCTTCAAGTATTTTCCTTTTCACCTTGGTTAATAATAGTTTGTTGTTTGGTTGTTTTTTTTTAACCTCCCTAGGTGTATTTGCTCTCTTCTACATCAGCAACAAGTTCCGAACATATCCCTTCACTTTCAAAGACCAACTCATTATTTCCTACAGTGGCCTTCGAGGAGCCAGCAGCTTTTCTCTTGCATTCTTACTTCCAGTGAATCTCTTCCCTAGAAAAAAATTGTTCATTACCGCTACTCTTGTAGTTACATATTTCACTGTGTTCATCCAAGTAAGTGTATTTCTTAATGGATTGCTTTCATGTAATAGAGGTGACTGAAAGCTTCATAGTGAAGATTGCATTGAATTTCCTCTTAAATCGTATTTTATGGGCAGATTTAGAACTGGAACTATAATTACCCTTTCAGGGCTTTCTAGTTATTATTAAATAACTTTTTGAGAAAGTTGGCATTGAAAACCTGTGTCTTTTAAAGGAGTATTTTGTGTCCAAAATCTTTTATGTTCACTGCAGATGTGCTTCCTAATGCTTCCAAATAAAGAAGCATTTTTTAACTTTACACTTCAGCACAGAATCATTCTTTGTTAGCGGTATACCACAAACTGAACAGAAAACAGTATGTCTGTTCTATGAAGGATTTTGAATTTTTTACTTTTATCTTCATTCATCTTGGTGAATGAATTTTTTACTTTTATCTTCATTCATCTTGGTGAATGAATTTTTTACTTTTATCTTCATTCATCTTGGTGAATGAATTTTTTACTTTTATCTTCATTCATCTTGGTGACCAAATGAGAACATTTAAAAATCCTTTGTAAAAGAATATTAGAGAAAAATGAAGTGAATAATTCAGATTTCTAAGAAAGCTGGCTACTTCAGATGTTTGGGCTGTTCCACTTGTCTTACACTGCTGTATCTGGAAGAACGGGATCTTCTGGAAGTCTTGCATCTCATGTTCTATATTTTCCTGTACCAAAATCTGAGCTAATCTAGGATGCCAATGGGGCACTATGCACTTGTGGTTAGATTCCACCAGAACGTTTCTGAAAAAAAAAAAGTGAAAATTGTTTCTGTTTCCCCTTTTAAAATGCTATTCAGTAGCAGTGCAGTAAAGAGTTGGAAAGAGCTGAAAATAATTTTGAAGTTAAAAAAACACACCCAAAGTATTTAATTCTGAACACACTGAAGTAAGAGATTTCAAGATTGTAAGAACCTCACAAAGATTGTGTTTTCTTTCAAGTGAGTGCTGTTTTGAAGGTTGGCAAGGAGTTAAAACATGTCAATAAATACAATCTTGATTACAAAAACACTGGTGCATAATTTTTAAAAAGTTTTTAAGTTTTAAACCTCTTTTGTAGCTTTCCATACAATTAATATGACTAATACACAGCTTTCTTAATTGATTAAAATGAAATCTTTTTGCTTTCCTTCTATTTTTTTTTTCCCTAAAGGATAATTAACATTTCAACTCATTGTTCCAAATGCAGGGAGTCACAATTGGACCATTGGTCAGGTATCTAGATGTGAAAAAGACCAACAAAAAGGAGTCTATCAATGAAGAGATTCATGTGCGAGTAAGTCTTTTATATCAGTAGCTGATATCCTAAAAAGAAGAGAAAGGGTATTCCAAAAGAGATGGAGGCATTTGGTAGCACTGGCATTTGGTGAATTTGGAGACAGAATACTTTTATCAATATTTTGAGCATAAAACCATAAGCATAATTTTCTAAACTATATTTCATTCATATTCATAGTAACTATCATATTATAATATCATACCACAGGTGTCATGGTGTACCAGGACCCTTACTTCTTGACACCTGTGACCATGACAGAAACATGAAGGCCACATTTACAAAATGCACTCATCATCCTTCCAAGCTAGATTTGCCAAACACCTTCTTGCCATCTTTTGACCGTTTCTGGGTACACAGTTACCCCTTAAAAGTCTTTAATCAAGTTTTATTGAACTGAAATGAGTTGAACCATTGGTCTGCAAATTTGGTTTCAAGTTATTCTGAATAATGCTGTTTTGCCCTCTCAAACATTTACTTTAGCTCCCTAATTAACATTATAAAAAATTACAGAAAGCTGCTTAATCTGACTTAACAGTAAGCAAAATATGTGTACATGGTTTCATTTTCACAATAGGGAATATATTTGAAATTAACAGAAACACTGTGCCTTAAAATTACACACATGCAGAGACATTAGAATTAGAGCATCTCAACTGGTTTGAATTTAAAGTACATTTAATTCTTATTATTTCAACCCTTACACTTAACCTTGAAATGAATTTATGTTTAAAAGCACCCCTTGTAACAATATGTATGTAATCATTCACTATATTTCTGTCTGTTTCTGTAATGCTAGAAACACACAAAAGATGACTGAAAATCCTGGCAGTTATCTGTGATGAACTTGTGAGTCTCGTGACAATTTTCAAAAGCCTCAGAGGATTTGTCAGCCAAGGCAAAGTTAAGGCGTGTGGTACCTGTCCCTGTGCCCCTCTCAGGGAGATCACACATGCGGAAGGGAAACTGGATTGACAGAACCAAGAATTTAGGTTTTGGTCTCAGTAAACACACAGGACCAGGCAATTTGGATGCTTGGTATCATCTTCCTTTACTTGGGCCTCTATGTTGCTGGGTGATGGTGAGATGACAGCAGACTGACAGACTTGCCTCCATCAAAATATTGCCCCTGCAGCCAAGCAAAGGAGCTGCCACAATGGTATCTTTGCCTTGATTTCTAGAGAAATATAGATGCTTTCAGAATTAACTCACACCCTCCAATAAAAAAATCTCAAATCCTGTCAACAATTACATATATGTGGTAACACTATTTTACTGTAATGGCCACTTAAATTTTTTCCATGTTTGTTTCTCTAGTTGATGGATCATTTGAAGGCTGGTATTGAAGACATATGTGGACACTGGAGTCATTATCAGCTGAGAGATAAGTAAGCATCTCTTATTGCAGCCTACTGTAATAAAACAACATATCTATCATGTAAAGCACAATAGTTTAATAGAATAAGAAATCAATCTTGTGCCCCATTAAAGCTAAAATAGCATGAAAATATTGGGGACATGTGCAATATCTCTTTTTAAACAGTGAACTCCTGAATGACCATTATTTCTTGGGAATGCAGTGCTCACATATTGCCTGCTAAATTATTTCTGCAGAAATAAGCAGAAAATAAGCCTTCTGAAAGAAAAGCATAGCATGGGAACTCATGCTACACACATCAGCCTGTGCACATAGCTTTGACATAAATCTTAGATACACGGCAATGCTCCTTTAGGTCTGGATTTAGAACAGGAGCTACATAAGATGTCAGTCCTTCACTGACTTTTGCTGTAAACTTCTGCAGCAAATATAATCCTGTCTTAGTGAGTACAGATTCAATAATAGTTACCTGTCCTTACAAGACTTCACATTCAGTAATACTTAAAATAAGAGTACTGAAGGGAATGGTTAAATTTAGATAGCCAGTAGCATAAGCAGATACTCTCAAGCTAGTCTTAACTCAGAAACACAGGACCTTCCTTGTATTTTCTAGGAACAGGATGAAGAGATTTTGCAAAGCTTGGCACTGTCCAGAAGTGATAGGCCTTCCATCCTGAGCTGCTGTTCCCTTTACCAGGAAACTTAAGGGAGCACTGTGAACATGCTGGCCATCATTGTAGCATGTGAAGGGAAGTGTGGGAGACAATAATCTTCCTTTCCCACAGACATTTTATTATGATGTTGTGGGCTAAAAGTTATCCCTAGTTATCCTAGTTATGCCTAGACTTCTGTGCTGGATTCCTCTGTCTCACCTTTCAGCACTGGACCCCAGTAATCTGCAGAGGGGTCTGTTGAGACTCCTTTCATGACTGGGTCTCTCCCTATGGAAGTCAAGATTTAAGAGTGGGAAGAAGGTGGCTGGTTTGCATGTGGCTCTTGTCCCAGTGAGGAGTAAATGTGTAATATGCTAGGGCACATACCTGAACCCAGAAACGAAAATGTCCTTTTGTCTCTCATAGTACAGATTGAACTTTAGGACATCTGCTGGGATCACACCACTGCCTGTGCAGTCAATAAGATGAACAAATCCCAGTTGGAACAGTAATTCCATTGGAATAGCTGCATTTACTCACATCTGTGAGAAAATGTTATCCCCTTATTTCACATCTACCCAACATCTGTGAAAAGAGCATTTTGTCTAAACTAGCCATAAAAACAGAATTTCAGTTCAGGGACAGATTCAAAAAACACAGTGTATGTGAAGGCATTTAATGGAAGAAGATTGTATTAAAAGATAATTCCCTAGATGTTTCTACTCAACTTTAAAGAGGGTTAGCATACGTATATCAGAATTAATTACTTAAGTGATGACACTCCAGGAGGCTTTCTGTGACATAATAAAACATAAAGAAGAGCAGATATCCCAATGGAAATGTTTGTGTACCTACCTCTGCTATTATATATAAAAACTAGCCTTTGTTAAGAAAAAATGTATAAACTCTTTAGGGTTTTTCCTAGCATTGTGGACCACATTACCTTGCTGTGGTAAACTGTAGCTTTGAAAGAAACATATAAGAAGATCCGCTGTTGTTCTATTAAACGCCTGCCTGAAAGCACATACCTGTTCCAAAGCCACACACAACATATTCACATTCAAATTTTGCCCCACATTAGTGATATTTTACAATCTGCAGCATGCAAGCACATAGTATTTTGTGGGCCATTCAATCTCTCTGTTATTCAGAATACAAAGAACTGTATTTTCTCTGCTGTAATTGTCAGGATACAAAATTATCAGCAACATAATGGACCCAAACTACTGTAACTACTGGGCCATTTAAAGCCTCATTGGTGGCTGGCTGAATAGGCCAGGATTGCTGTAAGAGCAGCTGCTGCTGTTATGCCCTACCAGAATACAACATTTGTACAAAAGCGAGGAGACTGTCCATATTCTTTTCCAACAAATGTGGCGGTGTTACATGCAAACATGGACCCAGCCTCTTTTTGCTCTGATTGCAGCTTGTTTCTTTTCTTTTGTCTGGTGGGCTTTGCAATCTCTGTGGACCAGCAGAACATGCCAAATGTCCCTCTCAAGGTCTCCACTCACTAGGCCTTCAGGAGTCCACAGGTGCCTCCAATTTGAATTCAGTTTCTACCACTGAATTATGTATGTGTGCATTTGAATGAAGGTCAGCTTGTACCTCAAAAATAAAAACCCCACATTTCATTTTTTTACACTTTGATCTTCATATCTATCTCTTTCGCAGATTTAAGAAGATTGATAATAAGTATTTGAAGAAAATCTTAATTCGGGAACACCAGCCCAAATCCAGCATTGTGTCATTGTACAAAAAGATGGAGATAAAACTGGCCATTGAGATGGCTGAGAGTAGCATGAAACTTTCAGAAACACCTGCAACTTCTTCACAGTGAGTACTGACTTCCTGACTCCTTTTTAGTGTAGGTGCAGGAAGGACGGGGACAAAAATGAGGAAATACCCAAGGGATTTTATGACTCAAATAGAAATATGGGGGGGGGGGGGGGGGAACCGGACGCACAAATATAGTTATGAAAAGAGAAGTTGCTGGTTTGGGCTGGCAATTTGGTGCTCATCATATTTGCACTTTGGCTTTTTATTTGCAGAGTGAAAATTAAAACCAGAGACATTTTTTCTGTTCTCTTTAATGATGGGCAGTTCTGAAGAGGAATCATTAGTCAGGGTCAGAAGGTGCTCTGGCTGCTTTACATCACAGCAGTGGTTCAAGGTGGCTGTACTTGTCACTGAGCTGGCCAGTGGGTTTTGCTCATCAGTGACAGGTGATGAGAGACCTGCAGGAGAGCTTGGAGCCAGGTCCCAACTGTATTATCCCTATCACAGATTTTTGTTAAAAGCAGATTGCCTTGTAACATTTGCAATTATTGCTACTTCAGTTTGCAGTCCTTCAAACTGTCTTGTCTTATTTTGGTACTTCCTTGCAAAATTTGTCCAATTAAATCCTGAGGACAGCCCTGCAGAGAAAGACTTGGGGTTACTAGTGGATTAAAAGCTGGACATGTACCCAGCAGCATAAGCTCGCAGCCCATAAAGTCAACCATACATATCCTTAACTGCATCCAAAGAAGCATGATCGGTAGGTCAAGGTAGATGATTCTGCCCCTCTACTCTGCTCTGATGAGACCCCACCTAGATTACTGTGCTCAGCTCTGGGGCACCCAGTACACGAAAGACCTGTTGGAGAACATCCACAAAAATGACCAGAGAAATGGAGCACGTGTCGTGTGAGGAAAGGCTGAGAGAGTTGGGGTTGCTCAGCCTGGAGAAGAGAAGGCTCTGGGGAGACCTGACTGTGGCCTTCCAATACCTAAAGCAAGCTTATAAGAAAGGTGGGAACAGAGATTTAATAGGCCATGTAGCTATAGGACAAGAGGTAATAGTTTTAAACTCAAGGAGGGTAGATTTAGACTAGATACAAGGAAGAAATTTTTTTTTGAGGACGGTGAAACACTGGGGCAGGTTGCCTAGAGATTCGGTAGATGCACCATCCTTGGAAACATTCAAGGTCAGGCTGGATGGGGTTCTGAGCAACCTGATCTAGTTGAAGATGTCCCTGCAGATTAAAACTTGGCATCTAACAGACGTTCTTTGCTGAACAGTTGATATTAAAAAGACTGCTTGTCTGTCAGGCTCCTTCCTGTCTGCTGTATTCCCTTAGCTGTTCTGAGCCAAGACAAAATGTGCAAGTTTGGTAGGCAATCTATGGCAACCAAACCATATTTCTCTTATTTTCTTGAGTGAAAGAGAAAATAAGACAAAACGCTTCAGTATAGTTCAGAAATTCTCTCCTGAGCTGAAAATTTAGACTGAAAAATATTCTATGATAAACAGCTGATAATGATGGACTAATTTTTGCCATCTCTACTCTGGCTGTAATTGAATTTTACTGTGCATCAACAGTTTTTAGGAAACACAGGTTTTCCTACTGAGACAGCCTTTTAAAAATGAAGTGCCGACTTCAAAAAAACAAGTGCATCCTGTGGCACAGAAACATGATTCTTGGAGGCTGTGAGAGTGTTCTAGGAGAATATATGTTTTCCCAGCTCTGTTCATTGATAGTTTTGAGCACTGGAAGAGACGGGGTAATGAGCTAGTTGTTGAATCTTTGGTCTGAGCAAATGCAGCAGTTCTTTTCATTCTCCTGACGCATTCAGTGAACCTGCTTAAGACTAAAAGGTTTCTAAATGCATTTGTAAATTGCTTGATAGTTATCAATGAAACAGCTTGTACCTAAAGTCTGACTTCAGTAAGCATACAAAAATCCGGCTGTAGGCAAGTGGAGATTTGAAATCAAATTCCAATGTATAGCTTGGAAAACAATATTTGCAGTGCCAGAGTAGTGCTCTCTAGGGCTCTCTCTCACAGAGTAGTACTCCCTCACTAGCACTTTTGATCAGTCCTACAACCTTGAGGCACATGAGGGGAAATGCTCTATAACAATCAAAGTGGATCTCCATCTCTGTGAATTACTCTCAGAAATTGCATTCATGCTGGTGTAATTCCTGCAGGTGGAGAAGGTGTCCAATATGCAGCGTTTCCAGTGGCGAAATTTGCCCATGGACTGTGCAACAAAGAATTCACATTTGAATGAAAATAGAGCATTTTGTTACAGTGTTTTGTAGACTATAAGCCTTAGAAATAAAGACGGAAATTGCAAAAGCAGCGCTGAGCAGATATTATCAAAACTGTTTGTATGGCTGTTTCTTGGAGGAAATATGCCCATTACACAGAGAGATGGCTTGATGCTTAGCTTACTTACTGTTGGCTTCATATTGCTGCAACACTGACTTTGACAAGAGTAAATCTTAGAATGCATCAATACAGTGCAGGTCAAAATCAAGTGTCATGTCATTTGTGGTGATGCAGTTCTGCAAGGACTGTGCCCTAGGAACGTTACTTCCTTCACAGGCTGGAGACTTCACAAAGTTCAAGATTTTAGATATAACACAAACCAAATAATCTTACAAGGTTTATGGAAGGCATTTTATTTCCTCCATGAGTCAGTTGTCTACAGATGTAAAGAAGAGATACTGCCATGGTACTCATTACAGAGAGACAGTTTTCATGGCATACAATAATTTCTTTATTTTCTTCACAAATACATCTCCTGTACTGTGTTTTGTTGTAACATGCTGGAAGTTTCACTAAGAACAAAGAAATTGTGTCAATAAGGATTGCTTGGTGGGTTTGGGTTTTTTTTTTTTAAGTTCTCTTTAAATGCATTGTATATTGCAAAATGCAAAAGCAATCTGTTCCTTGCACCTGTGCATTGTAGGTTAATATTAAATTCCATTAAAATAGCGCATGTTTTCAATTTATGCTTCAGAACAATACAGACTACCTTCCTACTGTTTGTTCTCTTGCTATCCCAGCTCAGCTGAAATTCAGGGAATTTTATTTATTCTATTTAAGTCACTTTAAGAACAAAATTATGAGCCTTTAAATGACTGAAGTGGCCACTTCTGTGCTGGCATATGGAGGGTCAGGTATGTAACTGGAAAAGTAAAGAGATGATCTGATGTCTTCCTAGCGGAGTTCTGCTTTCCCCTACATACTTAGCTGCTTTCCCCCATTTATTCCCAACTGTAAGGTATATGGACCCTGTGGAGATTTTCATTGAAATGTGGATCAGAGAGAAAATTAATCTGTATGATGTCAAAGCTGCTTGCATCAACTATGTCAGCTCAATTTGTATTACACAAATGAGCAAAGCCTGCATCTTATAGACAACTACTCACTGACAGGCTAGATTGTCATTAGTCCCCAGGGGCTGGGTCTGTGTTTGCTTTCCCAGGTGTACCTCATATCTCTCTGTTGTGAGAGACTGGTTTCCGTGCTGTGGAAAGTAGCATATATGGACTGTCCCACAGCCTGCAACACACCAGACCCAGTATGGAATAAAGATGCATTACACCTAAGCCTGGAAACTTGGTGGTATCCTTGGATCCTCTCAGTGTTATTCCTGAGAGCTGAAAGCAAGTGAAAACCCACCCACCCACCCACCCAACTCACCAGCTGGCCTGGAATTGGGTGGGTGTGCTCGGCTTTCTTCACTGCTGGTAAATACCTAACTTTGTTGTGCTATTGAGAATTGATAAATACTAATTAAACATTTGTTGGGAAGGATTCATTAGGGCCAGGGCAAGATTTCTGGTCAAATGCAGAAAGTGAGTCCTGTTCACCCACTTTGGCTTGTCAATAGCACAAAAACAGTGGTAAATCTTGTTAAACTAGCGGAAATTTCAAATCCCAACCTTTTTCCTATGTTTACAGCATAAACTCATTTTAGCTTGAATCCATTTTCCTTTGTTTTAACTTTTGTTAAAAGTTTTTGATTTATTGTAGAGAGAGTAAAAAGTAAACGCACACAAAGCTTTGATGATACTGTACATTGATCATAATTCATCCTTTAATTGCACAGTTTACAGGCGACACTCTAAGGACATCACTTAGCTGAGAACAAAGATTTGAAATTTCATTAAAAAAAAAAGAAGTCAAGAAAGCAAATGGAGAAAGGAAAAAAAAATAAAAACAAAACCCAGAAACAAGAGGAACACTGATTCATTCTGAATGATCACTATCTAATTCCCTTTGCCTTCTTGGGAATTGAGCTGTATGCTACTCTCACACATATCAACCTATTTAGCAAAACCAGTTAACATTTCACAGTAGCCCTCCTCCATTGTTTTGCTAGTGAAAGAGCCGGGCAGCTACAAGTGACTTGAGCTTCTTGTCACAGTTTGTTAAAAATACAAAGATGACTATCTTTTTGGTAGTTCTTTCGTTATAAATGGAGAGTCAGGCTCAGTAGCAAGGAAACCCTACATGTTCTCCTCACCACAGGCTGTCTTGTGCTCTTTCATCAGCATGGATTTTAGTTCTAAAGGATCCACTGCACTTTCTCAAAGGAGTTAAAACCAGTAGGTCTGCAGGGCCCAGACTGCTAGACTGTGCTGAAGAATGTATTCAGACAGAGGAGGAAACTTGCAGTGCCTTCCTGAATGCACTGCTGGTTGTTGCCCAATCTAATCCTTAAATACAAACTTCCTCACGAAGCTTTGAGTTAAAAAAAAAAAAAAGAGTTTCTACTACCAGCTGTATGAAGGTTTAGGGCCCATTCTGGCTACCCAGTACATTGATAAAACCCAGGAAAGAGTAAAATATGACATTTTTTATTAATCTTTGAACGATTTTGTGGTGTCACTGGTCACGAAGAGGCTGAAGAGTCTTGTGTTCTGGTACTAAAAAACAGACCATGAATCATTTCATGGGAGTATTCAATCAACTCATTAATGTAATATTTAAACTTCTCTTTTATTTGCAGGAATGGTAGAAATCGGCGTGTGCGTAGGCTCTCCCACACAGAGATGAAGTCCTTGAGAGAAGTCTTGGCACATAATCTATACCAAGTGCGACAAAGGGTGTGTAAACGACCTGCTATCGCTCACTGTTTGCAGACTGAAAGCTCTTGTTTGCCCTCCCCATATCACAGCCATGGTGGGTGGTAGCACTAGGACCAGCCCTGGGGTCAACGCTGGTGGGAGATGTGAGCCCAGTGCCCTGAGGTGCTCCGACCCTAGAGATGCTCAGGGAAGGGAAGGAAGGGAAGAAGCCCTGGCTTGAGGCACATTCCTGGATGTAGAAAGAGAAAGCGAGTTTTCTCCATCAGCTTTTCACCCTGCAACAACATGGAAAGCTAGGAAAATCTGTGACTGGGCTGTAGAGGTCAGGCTTTCCTCACTACACAGCTACCCGTGACTCGGGAACCATCATCTCCAGGCTGCCAAATGCTCTGTCCCCACGGCATGCACGGCCCGTGCAGTGGATGGCTAGGCTGGACCAATGCTGGGCAACCAGCTACTGACACTGATCAGCCAGCTACCTGGTACCCGGGGATGAGTGCAGGCTCTTGTGGGGGGTGGCCAGCAGCAGTGAAGATCCACCCTGTGGAGGTGGATGGACCAGCAGTGGTAAATACTGCGTAGCTCAAAGACAGCTGAGAGGCTGGTAAATCCTCCATCTGCATGGGACCAACAGCTTAACAGGAGAAGAAAGAGGAAAAATAAATAAATATTCCACCTCCTCTGGAGCTTTACTTTACACATTTGGGTTCCCCCCCCACACCCCCCCCCATAAAATGAGGGTGATAATAACTGATAATATCTGGCTCACCAGACCAATTTTACAAGGAGCTTTGCAGGTGTGACAGAGATCAGATTCTGCTTTTTAAGAAGGCTTAATTTTTCTCCTTAAGACAGATAAATATTTCCCTCATTTCACCTGATGTATGCAATAAATTAAAAAGCTTGTCCTAAAACATACTCTGTTTTAGGGTGATATTAAGGTGTAGTTTGTCCAGGTATGGAAAGGAAACTCAGTCTGTGTATCTTATTCTGGAGATGTACTCTTCTTAACTTAGTCTTTTGCTCCTGGGCACATCTGCAGCTTGCTGCTGGCCCAGTAATATTAGTACTAAGGCTCAAAGGCTAGTTAATCAGCTATCTCTCTCTTGGGACCTGTCTCAGATCTGTAGCTCCCAACTGTGTGACAAGGAAAAGGATGACAAAGGGAGAACAAGCCCAGAGATGTTAATAACCTTGTGTGGGTAGGTATATGTTTCTAGTGCACTTCAAACAGTCAAGAGTCTATGAGAGATGGCATCAAAATGCAGTCCTTGAAGTCTAAGACATACAGCTGTTCTTGTGTTTCCTCCTATCTTGATCTCCAGCAGTGAATTTAGTACGAGGCTGCATTTTTTCATGTGATGCCAAAGAGATCTATGATGAGTCTATGGCCCCATGATCAACCAGACTGCACAAGGTTTTTAACATTGGAAGAACAAAGAAAATCAGCTAGGTGCATTTTCTGTTTCAGGCACCAGCGTACAATCGACACAACCTGCCTACCAGCGCAAACGAGAAACAAGCCCAAGAAATCCTCATCCGTCGGCAGTACAGCCTGAGGCAGAGTTGCAGGAAGGGAAACAGCTTACCTTTGGGTAGACCGGTACCTGTTACATATACTACTGTTTATGTGAAAAATGCCTCTGCTTCTCTGTAAATAAGGAAACAGACACCCATTTTATATGCTTTTTTTGTAATAATTAAAATGGATACTTTCCCCAGTGTCCTTAGCATGTTGACAGCAACATATTAATGTACTACCTCTATACATTGGTTAGAGATCAGCTACTATGGCTGCCAGTAGTAAAATAATGTAATTTGCATTATTTTGGTATGTGCAAAACAATATAATCACAAAAAGCCAGATGCAAAGCCCTTGACACCTTGCACTGACTGTTGGCTCTTGATCAGTAAGATTTGTCTGATCAAAGGTAGTCATTGAATAGCATAGATATTTAAAGCTGAGTTGATCACAGTGGGGGAAGATAAATAAGTTGTTGCTGGGTATATTAATTTTATTTAAAGTTGTCACATGAAATAGGAAAGGTGAATCTTAGAAGAACATATTTCTCTCTGCTGACTGTAAAAAAACCCCATAGGGCCAAATGTCAGGACACTGACATTTTTCACTGGCATTGACGTTGAGTTCAACCGTCCAAGCCAAGCATTGTTCTTATTCATTCCCCTCTAAATTGGGCTTTAAAAGTGCAGAGGTGCAAAAGAAAAAGCATATAGCCATCCTTCTTTACCTTCTCACCAAAGAGGTGCAAACGGCAGACACAGTCACAGGAACTGAACACATTTGTGTCTCATATGCAGGTTAACACCACAGAAGTACGCTACCTCTCCTTGCCTCAGGGCCCCAGACAGCGCACAAGACAAAAAGCCAGGCATGTTACTTTTACAGGTAATGGCAATGCTTTACTCTGTATCCTACTCCAGCAGTGAAAGAAACTTGGCCAGTGGCTCAGTGGATTTAGCAGTACCAAATAAGGACTCCCAGGGAAGTCTCTGGCCTCTTTAAATGAGCTACACCCTCTTCTCCTTTCTTTTTGATCTGTGTTGTTTACATGGTCTTTACTGCAGCAGTTTCTATCTCATCCCAGCACCGCCGAGGTTTCTCTTCCCTGTAGCAGGCTCCTGGATCCCCTGTTCTCCCCTTACATCACACACAGGGACTAGTTCATTGTTGTTGGTATAGATTATGTGGCTGTCTTACCCTGCCCATGGGGCTGATCCCCCCCCCCCCCTCTAATCGCATAACCTAACACAAACTCCTGGCAGAGTCTGTCCCCAAGTAGCTGGTCTCTTCTCCCCCTTTCCCACCTTATTCTCTATGAACATTTCTGTAGTAATACTGGAATTACTGGATAAAGTTATCAGCCAGTCTCATATTATCATACGTACACAGTAAAACACAGACCCAGCCTCAGCTGCACTCTCAAGTAAGGGGACAGAAGTTAGGGATGGAGCAACACTGAATTGTCTAAGGAAACACAGCGAAACAATGTCACAGAAAATACAGAATTTAAGACGCTTGAATGTTCATCATTGTCTCCATCTGTAATCTCCCTGACTCCTTTCTGAATTTACTTGTGTGAACCTGAAAGGCATTTGTGTTCCTTAGAAATATTCATTTCTAGCAAAATTAGCTTTAGAGATTGAAAGCATATGTTTAATTGTTGTCTTTATATCAAAAACTTGGACAACAAAGTTTGTTTCCTGCAGGTGCAAAACTGTTTTTTCTTCCCTTTCTGTTTTACTATGAAAGAGATGAAAACAGGAGACCTGTGAAGGCAACCATCTTCCTGGGGCTGGGCAGTCACACATGGTGGCAGCAGAACCGAAACACAAGAGGATCTGTTCAGAGGGGAAAATAAAATTACTCATGGGGATTTTTTTCTTTTTTCCTTTTTTCATACAGCTGATTGATTGTTTTCAGTTCTGTTTGTCAGGACGCCATGATGGGGGATATGTGCATTTCTAAAAGATTCAAATTGTTCTACAGAGCAGCCTCAGACCTAAAAGCATTTCAGACATTTTCAAGAGACCAAGTCCTTCTATACCAGATAGGCATATTATTTCAGTGGGGAAAGAGCTAAATCCTGAAACAGTGTATGAAAGTACTTTTTTATTAATAGCTAGGCCTGAATTTGAGACCTACCTTATGATCTATCCAAATAGATCATATCCAAAGAGGCTTCTTGGTTCAGCTTCTGGCCCCATCCAAAGTCGGTTGTGTAGCATTCACCTTAAATTGTCTTCAGCAGGAGGAAGCCACCCTAAACTCCTTTCATAAACTGTGTTAAGATGAAATAAACTGCACTTAGAAACTGAGAAAATAAACGTAAGGAATGTAGGTGTCCTGGGTTCAGCAGTAGCAGTCATGTTTCTCCTTCGTGGTAGCTGGTGCAGTACTGTGTTTTGACTTCCAGCCTGGGAACAGTGCTGGTGATACCCATGTTTTCAGTTGTTGCTAAGTGATGTTTACCCTGACCAAGGACTTTGTGAGGCTCATGCTCTGCCAGGGAGGAGGGGAAGCCGTGAGGAAGCAGAGACGGGGCGCCTGACCCAGGCTAGCCAAGGAGGTATTCCATACCACAGCACGTCATGCCCGGGGTGGGGGGTAACTGGGAGTTACCTGGAAGGACACGGGCTTCCGGGTGGGACTCGTTTCTTGGCCGGTGGTATTGTATTCTCTTCCCTTGTTGTTTTCTCTTATCGTTGTTGTCATTGGTGGTAGCGGTGGTGATTTGTGTTGTACATTGGTTGCTGGACTGTTCTTGTCTCAACCCGTAGGAGTTGCACTCTTTCGATCTGGGGAGAGCCCCGGGGGGGGGGTGGGATGGTGCTCGATTGCTCTCAGCCCAGCACCACTCACTTGGAGTGAGTGAACAAGCTGTCTGGCTAGGGTTTAAACCATGACAGTAGGAAATTAGAATGACAACCTCATATATGCACATATGCATTTACAGAGACAAATGCCACCTCTTCTCTCTATGCCTGGAAGCCCTCCTGGAGCAAGCATCCTCTAGCGAGCTTGGTTTAGCTCTTATTTATAGCTTGTGCAGAAAGTTTAGTAACTAAAACATGAGAAATAACCACAAATAGATCCTTAAACCACATATCAGCTCCTTCTGCTACTCATACAAATAAATTATTTCTTTGACAATGTGTATCGTTCTTGGCAGCAGTAATGCTCACAAAGGGCTAAGTATGAAGGGCTAAAGCCCTTCAAATCTGAGACAACTTATCCTATTTTACTGCTTATGGTATGCCCACATGGCCTACGAGAAGCAGGTTCTGCTGTTAAACCAGTCTGTTCCCCTGTTTTGTAGAGGTATGTGCTGGTGTATGCATTCTTACTTTGCGACAACTGTGAAGTAAACATTAGTTTAAAACAATGTAATAGTTATTAAACTGCAATAACTTGACAACTTTTGAGTATGTGACTAAGGCCATACATGTGTGCTTTAACTGCAGCAGTGTATAGTTTAATTTTACTATTAATAGACCTTTGTGTTTATTTCCCAATGCCTCCTAACTTGTTACAAGCTGTTTCTTAAATTAACTACAAGTGGCTTTAAGAAGAGTGAAAATGTTCTATGAACTCAACAGAATGAGCAAGCCAGTTATTGGCCTACAGCAGGCAAATTTTTATTGTGTATTTGTGGCAAAGCAAGCTGGTAGGAGCAGGTCTGACACACCCAATGTAATCAAAGCACCCTAGAGTCTTACTCCTGGTTTCAGGTGAAACTGTTTTCTTACCAGGTGTTAATCACAGATTACTGGTAAACCTGGTTTTTGATGCCTGTAGAAAATTGAAAGCTACATAAAAGAGCACTCTTGCCCTGTGAAGGCATTGAGCAGCTCTGTCAGGCATTAAAAGATAGCTGAATGTGCTTACTTGTTGGGGTTTCAAGGTAGAGGCAAGATCAATAAAATCTTTTGAACATCAGCTTTGGGATAAAAATAAAATGTAGGGCTATTCTTAGCTCTCTATACAATAATTATTTAAAATACTGCAGTTTCAGGGTTTAAAACCATAATGCTGTATTGTATTGTATATCCTTTAACTGTCCTTGCCAGTACCGTGGTGTTTCTCTATTCTCCTCTTCAAAATATGAATTATTTGCCTATTTTCCTTCAGATCACCACAGAAGTGGCTCTGATGCTTCATTCCCAGTAATGTTCAGACCCCAGCCCCAACTACGGCCAGTTGAAGCAAAGTACCACCAGGAAGAGCTGATTCCAATGGCACACTTGGATAGACGAGCACGCTCATCCAATCCATCAGGTCGAAGAGGAAATTCAATCAGGCAGCATCGTTTCACCAGAGCAGAAAATCTAGCTCTAATGCCAAAGTCTCAATTCACTGTGGGAGAAGTAAAGGGATATGAGTCAGAAGAGGAGACAGTAAAAATGGCACCAGCCAAGCCATTAGACATATGAGGAGCACAGAAGAGCAATGTTTGCATCTCTAGGGCCCTCTGTGCACTGCTCCAGAGAAAATAACAGAGCTCTTATATGAACCAAATCCCAATTTTCCTTTTGGGACTACTGCACTTGTTCTCATATCACTTTCAAATGCTGTATCAAGGTACTTAGTGGCTCAGAGAAGGCTCAAATTCTTACATGTTTCTGTCAAGCTTTCTTTCCAACAAAACACTGCAGGAAAGAGGAACATGACTTTTGTAGGGGTTTGGACACGGATTTAAATGACGATAGTTGGGCACATGCAATGCTGTGGGTGGAAGCTAATATTGCCTTTCTCTGTTCTGCACTATGGCCTGCATCCAGAAGAAAGAAACACTGAAGGACATACTTGGCACAAGAGTGCCAAGATTGGGAACTTCAACTTGCTTAGAGCTTTTGACCTCAGAGTAGCTGAGATTTTCCAGGAAAAAGTTAAAAAACAGAAATGCATTTTTAGGCACCTAAATGTCATGGAACATGTCTAAAGAAGTACTTGAGTAAAAAGGATTTTTAGTGGACATTTTCAGCACCACCAGAGGGAAAAAATAAAACCCTTTTTCCCCCTTTTTCTCATGTTTGCAGCTTTTGTGTTTAGCAGGCCATAAAGAATGCACTGGAATTGTACAAAGCTTTATGAAACTTAAGTTCTGTTTGCATTTCCTTACTGTGCCAGAGAAATGATACAACTTCCTTTTATGAAAGCAATTATTACAAGAGGGTAAGGTCTGGCTTTTGTACCGACACTGAATAAGCAATGAAATACAGTTCTGTACCTGAAAATCAACAAATAAACCCAGCTTCACCAAAAGAGGAAGTACCTCTTGCCAGATCTCAATCCTATAGCAAGTTATGTTAACATTTTATAAATCTGTATGAAAACATTAAGAAAAAGAGTTATCATACAAAATCAGGTCTTAAATTGCAATGTGAGTCACCCACTTGCTGCATGAAATTTAATGAGGCCAAAATTAGTGATGTGGTGCTTAGGGCATAGAGCTGATGCAGGTGCATGGAGTGAGGTGATGAAGGTGTGGGACCTGCTGCTGCACTACGGAGTCACAAGGGGGTAGGATCTCCAAAACTGGCTGCTGGGTGATGTGGACTGGAGGCAGTCCCTGGAGACAGCAGTGAAAGGCAAGCGGAAATCTGAGTGGAAGGTGAAGAAGGGATAGTATCTCACCTTCAAAGGGAGCTCAGGAGAGAGATTAAACACAGGAATTACTGTCAGCTGCAAATTCAGCATTTCCTCTTTAAGAAGATTTAATCAGCAGGTTGTGTGGGGGAGCTGGACAGATACAAACATGTGAAATGAGGAAGGTTAATTGGATATCTGGAGTGGCATGGAAAGGGACTAGACATACATGATGGAAAAGAAGACTGTGCAATTTGGTCAGGGTGTATTTGGCAGGCATGCTTAAAATTGACTCCTAAATTCTTTATTAAATACTATAAAAGTCATGGAGCATTCATATAATCACCCATTGTAAGTAAGGAGCAAAGCATTCAATTCCTAATGATCATTTATACTAGAACTAGAGAAAAAGAATTAAGTCTTGCTAAAATACAAATAAATATACAAGTACAAAAAATACAAGTACCAGTGCATAGTTGGAATAAAATCTACCTCTTGGTTTGTTCCTAATCTTTCCTTGATGAAATCAGTGAGCCAGGTCTTCAGAGAGTATAAAGCGATAGAGCATCTAGAAGTTAATAGAGCTCTCACAGCTTTTGTAGTGTGGTCCACAAACTTGTAAAGTCTATTTTTAGTTTTCTTTCCTAGCAATTAGAAAATAGGAGTGGAAGAAAATTTCCTTCTATGCAATTGCTGCTAATGGTTTTGCTGGTCATCAGCCAAGAAGAAATGCTGCAGATGCGTGTATAAAATATGTTCCAAAATATAAAGTTGCACTGTTTGTTTGTTTTTATGGGTATTTCATACTTGTAGACAAAAGAGTTCTTAGAGAAGCACATTGCTTATATTTTAGATAGCAATAGCTACAGTAATGGTTCACTACAAGTAACTTACTCATGCCTAGAAGGTGAAGAATTATTATTTGAAATCCAGAGAGAAAATAGGAACTTGGGTAATTAAGTCTGTTTCCTTGGGATGGGGGGATAGGGCAGGACAGGTAAGTTTCAGGAAGGAATAATAATGAATAGCCTGTACCTTCAACAGCAGAGAAAATGGGAGATACACTTGACAAGAACTTGCTAACCAATGAGAAAAATAAGACAATAATAAGAACAGTCATAATGAGAAAATATTTTAACAGTAAAAGCAACAATGGTCAATCAGTATTTGCAGAGTTATCAGGGTCAACAGTATATTGTGAGCAACCAACAATACCTTCGTATTTATTGCATGGTGTGATTAACTGTTAGATCCTGTTGTTCTTGCTGCAGCTGTTACTCTTCAACTAATATTCCAGACAAGTAGGAACTTGTAGTTAAAGGAGAATCTCTTTCTCATAGATCTTATCATGAAGGATGCAGCAGTGAGAGGAGTGCCAGCAATCTGGACACAATAGCAGCTACTGTAGGGAGTGCCCAAAATGTGACCTCCAGAAATACCAGTTAACAGATTGCACTGAAAGACAGCATTGCCATGGTTCCTCCTCCAAGGGGAATGGCGCCCACTGGGAACATCTGCAACTGCATAGTCAGGGAAACAACACGGTGGCTGCATAGTAAAGCAGGACAGGGAGGGATGCTATGAAGGACCTAAAAGCAGTTCATGAGTTGCACTATGGGAGGATATCAGTGAAGGAGTGCAGAAGCAGGAGGGATAATTTGCCTCAGAACATGACTCAAAACTCGAGTCAGTGGAGCAGCCATGTGTGTATTAAAGCCAGAGAGGAGAAGCTGTAACAGGTGGAAAAGATCAAATGCCTCGGCAAGAGCTCTAGATGAACTGATTTACTGATGTGTGTGTGGGCAAGAAAATAGGCCAACTTAAAAGACCAAAGTAAGTTCAGATGTGTTCAGAGCAATTAAGAAAGGTTGTATGAGATTCAGAAAAGTAGGCTAGAGTTTCAGGCTGGAGAAGCTGGTAGAGAAGTAACGACCATGTTCAGTGTAAGAAGGGTGGTTTAATTCATATTTAAGAGACAGGTAGTCAGAGAAAGAGGACCAGTGATATCTACAGGGGAAATAATCAGATTGCCAGAAAAACATGACTTTTAAGAAAGAGAAGATGGAAATAATTATGAAATAATTCTTATTTTTTTTGCAAGTATGTTGGTTTTGTGGACTGACACTTTCAAGGTTTTTCCTGAAGCCATTAGACCCTGCAAACTCATGTTTTATTGTCATGTATAAATGAAAACTGCTATTTAAAAGCCTATGGGAGACTCTGGAAAATATAACAAATATTTCCAACCTTTCTTTCCTTATAGAAACTTTTTCTAAATTTCTACCTACGTGTATGGATAAACCACAAATGTTAAAAGTGGAAAACCAGATTACCTTATCTTTATATTTTGTTTGCTTTTTAGGTAGGACAATTACGTTTCTTGTTTTGCCAAACTCACGGTACTTAAGAACCTTAAAATTAGAGGTGTAAGGTAACATGAGTAACATTCTGATTCAGTTAAGAGGACTGGAAATCTATTGAGCTAAGATGTTTAATTTATTTCCTTTTGCAAATCTGCCTCAAAGTTAATCACAGTGAAACTCCTTTTTCTTTCCTGCTTTGGTTTTGTAAGTATGAAATTTCAAAAGTTAATATCAGTTCTTGTTTATTTCTAGTCCACCCTTCCTCTTGGGAAAAAAAAACAGGTTTCTACTGTGTTTCAAGCTCTGATTTTCAGATTTCTTTCTTTGGCAGGGCAGACTGCAGCCACACCAATACTAAACGGCTGGTCAGGAGACTCTCAAACAGAACATTATCTCTGACTTTTTTTTTACTGTCCTTGCAAGGAGCAAGCTAAGAAGAAAGAAGTATCTGACAAGAATAGCTGTAGTGAGCTGGGGCACAAGTATTAGTCATTTCCAATGCTTTTATACATTTTATACATTTTATACATTTTATACACAGACAGCTGCTCAGTTCTTTTTTCTATTTTATTCTGCTAAATTCAAAATTATCATGAAACCAGCTTGAAGTTAAACTGTTTGTTTGTTTTTTTGCTGGCATGTATGTTAGGTATTAATTTAGACTCATTATTTGGTACAGGGCCTAACACCATTTGCTTCTTGTATCTACTGTATTAGCAGCAGTGATAAGGGGTGAAAACAGTGAGTAGTGCCCAAATGTCAAAATAAAAGGGCTCTTTTTTTAAGATATCTTGGAATAAAACAGAAAGTCCTCTAGCTAGCTTTATACATGCCTTTAGTTAAGGGTAAATTCCCATTACAGAAGCTTGGTGAGAAAACAATAGATAAATGGAAGCCAGCTGTGGAAATAGCTTCAATATTACATGAAGGTAAATGACCACTGTTGTGGTCAAAAGTTTAATGTCCAAGTGGATACCAGTGATGAGAGGTGTCCCTCAGGGGTTGGTGTTTGGGTCAGCAGTGTTTAACATTGTTTAAAATCTTTGTCAGTGACATGGACAGTGGGATTGAGTGCACCCTCAGCAAGTTTGCCGATGACACCAAGCTGTGTGGTTCAGTTGATACGCTGGAGGGAAGGAATGCCATCCAGAGGGACCTTGACAAGCTTGAGAGGTGGGCCAATGGGAATCCCATGAAGCTCAACAAGGACAAGTGCAAGGTTTTGCAGAGGGGTCAGAGCAATCCCAAGCACCAGTACAGGCTAGGCAGAGAAAGGATTGAGAGCAGACCTGAGGAGAAGGACTTGGGGGTGTTGGTTGACGAGAAGCTCAACATGACTCAGCAATGTGCACTTGCACACTGAAAGCCAACCATATCCTGGGCTGCATCAACAGGAGTATGGCCAGCAGGTCAAAGGAGGTGATCCTGCCTCTCTACTCCGCACTTATGACACTGTACCTGCAGTACTGTGTTCAGCTTGGTCCCCAACATAAGAAGGAGGTAGATCTGTTGGAGCAGGTCCAGAGGAGGGCCACAGAGATGATCAGAGTGCTGAAGCACTTCTCCTATGGGGACAGGCTGAGAGAGTTGGGCTTGTTCAGCCTGGAGAAGAGAAGGCTTAGAGGGAGACCTTAGAGCAGCCTTCCAATACCTAAAAGGAGGCCTACAGGAAATCTGGAGATGGACTTTTTACAACAGCATGTAGGGATAGGACAAGGGGTAATGGGTTTAAACTGACAGAGGGTAGATTTAGGTTAGACATTAGGAAGAAGTTCTTTACTGTGAGGACGGTGAGGCACTGGCACAGATTGTCCAGAGAAGCTGGGGCTGCCGCATCCCTGGCAGTGTTCAAGGCCAGGTTGTACAGGACTTTGAGCAACTTGATTTAGTGAAAAGTGTCCTTGCCGTGGCAGGGGGTAGGAACTAGATGATCCTAAAGGTTGCTTCCAACCCAAACCGTTCTATGAATATATGAATATTAGTAATACTTGCAGTGGTGCACAGTGTCTTCCAGGTGCTGTATGAACACAAGTAACAGACAGTTCAGAGTCAGGGCATCCTGTGCGTTATGCCACTGCTAAATCCCCACATGAAAGGTGGGGAAACTTGCACAGAGCAAATGAGCTGTGTGTAAACATTACACAGGAACAGTGCCAGGAACTGAACATGAGACCCTGCTCCCTTGACCCCAAGTCTACTTTTACTTCTCTTAGGCTTTCTGGTGGCTGAAACCTACAGAAAGGAACAAAAGAACAGACTGAAACCGTTCATTCAGCTCACACCACACAGAAAGGAACAATCCAGACAGACATTAGATTCTTTCTGTACTGCTTCAAGCCAGGCATAATGACCTGCTCTTTACAAACACTCCTAAAAGACATCATAAAATTTTGCTGTATTTATGTGTAAAATATATGTAAGGTAAAAAAGATGCAATTCTTCACTCATTTTTCCCCAACACATTCACTGTTGTTCCTTTCAAAAACCAATATAATGTTCTGCATGTTTTGTATAGTTACATAAACTTGGTAACATTGAAGGGGTTTGTAAGAAGTGAATATACCATAACAAATACACCTTTTTCTTGGAGGCTAGAATCAAAAAACTTGTGTAAGTTGCTGCTCCTACTGCATTTTGGTCCAACGAGGAAGGGAGGATGTAGGTGTTTAGCACAGGTGTTAGACCTAAGACAAATTTCTTGAAACTCAGGGCTAAGTCATGCGCAGATGCCTCAAGACATCTGAGTTGCCAGATTTGGCAGAGAAGCCAAAGGAGCACACTGCTCCCTGGGTAAGTAGCCAGAGGCCAGGGAGGCCCCATGGGCACCTTCATGGCAGCTGGACTGCACCCCTGGGGCTGGCATTGGTGGGGACCTACAAAAGGCAGCCAATGGCACTTAGGGCATAAACCAGTTGAACATATGTGAACGGCTGTCTTGCAGGGATCTGATGAACAGTTCAGCCTCCACTGACTCCAGTGGGAGCTCAGCCATCTACCCCACATGCAGACACCTTCATGGTGAACATCTAAACGCAGCTTACTGAGTCTGAAGTGGAATTCCACAGTCCTGACCCTCCAAGAAATTTTGGCATGTATGAATGAAAAACATCTTTCCAAAGATAGGCGTTATAACTTCTTTAGCTTTGAGATTAATCTTTTCCTTCTCAAGAAATTAAGCCATTTGTGCATGTACACATAAAAAGGTAATATATGTACTTTTTTAACAATGTCTAACTGTGTACAACTCCTATACTCTATTTCTGAAGACTTTCTGCCTGTAAGCATATTTGGCTCAATCTTCTGTAATGGGTTTAGCAATAGAAATTTGCAAGGCTTACATTACTGGTGACTCAAATGGACCCTTTGTCTTGAATTCCTCCTGATGACAAATATCCCAAAATCTTCCCCCATTATTTTCATAAGTATGCAAACGTGGATTCAAATGAAAGAGATGAGTGCTGACAAATTTGCTAATCAAGTCTTAGCAATTTGAAGGAGCTCTTTCAGGAGCTTTTTTCTTATTTTATCTAATGCAAAAATGCCTGGTACTGGTTTACCAAGAGCTGCAGAGCTGATAAAAAAGCTGGTGCCAAGATCAGATTTACAGGTCTTGTCCTCAGATTATGAAAAGAAAGATAGATGTAGCGACAAAGTTCAAAATATCACTATAAACAAGTTTGGATGAATTAGGTTAAGTTCCAAAGCTCAAAAGAGCTATCAGTATTATTATTGTTGGTGGTTTTTTTGTTGTTGCTGTTCGTTTGTTTGGTTGTTTTTTCCCAGCCTCCTACTATGTGCAGATTTTCCTGTACCAGTCTCTAATGGTTAAATTAAAACTGTGCTCGATGAGAGCATTAGTGCTGCCTTATCTGATGGAAAAGTCATACTTTCGGCGAAGAGGAAAAGAGCTGCAGTGACCTCTGTTGATGGAATTAAGTAGCGTATTTAAAAAGCCAGAAAGGAAAGGTGTCACATTAAAATCTTCTGCTAGGAGGATTTGAGTGCTAGGATCAAAAGTAAACCATGCTAAGAGGCAGCGGCTTTCAGGCTGCATTTGAAAAAGACTATTTCCCAACTCCCACTGCAGACAGGATCCTTATCAGGACAGTTGCCTTTTGAGAATTATTTTTCACTGTGGAATTAAAAACCATTGGCATGAAGACAGAGGACATAACATAGGGAAGATGTGGGTTTTTTGTAGTGCCATACTGCATTCCAAGAGTTTATATCAACAAAAGAAAACATCGTGCTTGTATGCATTACCTGATCTCAACTAGGGACCTGTTCCTGATACCACCCTGACACACTGTTGAAGTTTTGAGGCAAAGGAGCTTTCCAGTTGACAGGCTGCCTGTGGCAGAGAGAAGTATCTAGGAACTGTCATGCCTTTATGACCAAGAATTTGGAACATGTCTTTGTGGGCTAGTACTGATCCAGGAAAATAATTAAACACATAAATACCCACAAGGATCTAGATCTTAATGCTTAACTTCAAGGTTGGGAATAGCCTCAGTAAAGCCAAGCCTTTAAGGACTGATCCTGTACGATTAAAGTTATTGAAATCAATAAGAAAACTTCCATTAAGAGCTAAGTAGCTTGTGGAAATGAGGGTATTTATGTCCTTACTTTTTTTCAGACTTGTGCCTTTGCTAAGGACTACCCAGTATTCAAGAAAGGCATAAATGAGGGTCAGGGTTTTGTACAGTTAAAGTCATTTTGTGCTTCCAAGCTACCCAGTAAACAATTGGCACCCACACTGTTAGGCTTTTCTAGGAGCCACAGCACTAGAAACTGGTACGTTTTTCCTTCTGTTTCTGGTGTTATGGCAGGTCTGACCATGATCACAAAGCTGGGAGTTTTCCCAGTTCAGGTATTTTAATTTATTAATGCTTCCACCAGAGCCTGAGAAGTTTTACTTTCAGTATGCTTGCCAGAATCACTGCTATCCCTCTGATCCTAAAACATC